TCTTGGAATCTGGTAAACAGATCGTGAGAAATATATCATAGGCCAATGGAGGAGGATGGGAAAGCAGAAAGGGGTGGGTAGCAACTCATTCTACCGAGCTCTGCTGTACTGGAATCTTTTCAGACATGTGTGTGTGAATTGTATATGTTGATGACCATAGTATAATATATGTCATATCTGTTATTCATTACTGTTTAAAGAAAATATTATAATATGTCTTGTCCTTTAAAAACTTTATTATTTTTTAGATGTACATAGACACATGATCGATCTATGTAAAAAAATGATAATAATTACGACACGGGCAGGACTTGACCGGCACCCACAGCGTTCCGGGCTGTTGCTCTAACCATTTTTTTTAATATTTATAATCGATTTTTAGTCTTGTCTTTTAGTTAAATGCACTTATTAAGCACTCTTTAAGTGTATATATATAATAAAAAGTACTTGACCACAAATTAACATAAAGCAATTACAACGTATTTATTGCGGTGGTTAAATTACGTAGTACGATTGTCACTGGGCGGTTCCCCCCATGAGATCACCACTGCTGAGTGAGGTAAAGGTGCTAGGGGGTAGGGGTATTTGGGGGTGGTTGGGAAAGCAAGACGCGGCGTGAATGGTGCCGGCAAGGTCACGGACGCCGGAAGTAGGTTACGGGCGGTGTCTATCGACCGCCGCATCGTCTCCCATTTTCACTATTAGTTGTAGATATGCCTTTGCTTGATACAAATGTTATTGCCATTTATTAAAACAATTTCTTTTAAGATAAGGCTGTGTTTAAGTGTGCTCTAATCCTTTTTTCGTATATCGGTTTCGAAATTTAGTTAATTATCATAATTTGCCACTTTTTATATTTAAGTATTTGCAAAATTAATTGAAATAATTTAAAAAACATCAACATTTCTAACATTATTACTATTAATTTTAATTATGTATGTAGGTGGTAAGCCTTTTTTTTCATTTTGTAGACAACTTCTTTCTTTTGCAAGTAAAAACTTTAAAAAGAGCGTCTTTTTACTTAAAGCGTTTTTGTAGTATGTCCGTTTCGAATTTTAATTTAACAACGTAGTCATTTTGCATTACACTTGCTTTTTTTTTGAAGAATGAAAGAAATAATTAATTTACATGCATATCACAAAACAATTAAATATTATTATTACATAATTGTTAGAGTAAAGTGTGTTTCAAAAAATATTTTTCTTTCAAACTACTAAACTTTTACACCGAAATGTGGAATAAAAAACCAAAAAGTTTAAAAACGAACAATATCGAACTAAAAAAGATTCTTGCTTAACAGCAGTTAGCATAATCTCGTTTAAGACTAACAATTTCAATGTAATGGTTTGTAACATTTTAAACAGACTCCGTTGTATAATTACAAACAATACTTAACCATTGTAATACATATTCGAAAAACATTTACTGAAAAATGGATTCAAAGCGATCGTTTTCAGTTCAATTTTTCAATGTAGGAGTGATTGATTGGTTCGCCCAGTTTAAAAATATATTAATGACTTCCCAGTCATTCATTGCGAAGTTTTTCCCCTGCGGGCGGCGAACCTACAATTATAACCCACGCCTACAGCGAGTTACTCGTACGCTCTCGAGGGGCAGACAGCGGCCGACGCCAAAACCCCCACAAAATTAGAACGATCTAAAATTAACAAGCACTTTGTATGTCTGAGACGACGCTAAATACCAGTGGCACGGTTTTCTCTCCGTCAGTGGAAATCGGGAGGCGAGTTTGGTTTATATAAGAGGAAATATCTCTTAATCAAACAACAATCCAGCTTTGTCTAAGACTATAATCTACGGGTCGTCGGATCGATTTCCTCGGGGTCTAAGATTTTTATAATTACCGTCTGTAGTTTACGCGAGTACATTTTTAAATAAAACACTTTAGCGTTTTAAAATGCGTAAAGGGCGTCTCCCCGTGACCGCGGCTGCTGCAAAGCATCCGGAACGTCAGGCCGTAGTAAAAATAATATTCAAATAAATTTAATTAATATATTTCGTCAAACCTTCACTAACCATCGTCCACAGATGAAAAAGCCATCAAGTTTAGTCACGTTTCGCTCAAAAGTGTTTTTTTTTAAATTTGTTCTACTCGTGTAAATTACAGATAATACTTAATAGACACATTTTAATATATAATTAAATCAACATATCAAATGACCGTCTACCAAACTAATAACAATCAAAGTAACATAGATCAAGAAAATATTGCGCAAGGTCACATTCGTCAAACTAATTAAATATTATCGAACAGAGACAAAATAAACAATGCAGTTCTGTGCTGTCCTGACTGACAGCAACCTTTGCTAAGTTTATAAACATTAAATTTATGGTTTATTTAGACTAATTTTTTTGTTACATGCCTACAGTACCTTAGTAAAACCCGTCTAAAACCATTACTCAAGGATCGTACCAAAAACGCGTCTTAACCGAGACAGCGGGATGTGGGATAGGGAAAATAAAAATAAAACTATACAATACATTATATACGTAGTTTAATTATAATTATAATATGTTATTAAAAATAATCACTTATATTGATTTGACAGAAAGATCTTGATTTTTTTCGCGTTTTATCGCTAATTATGCCAAATGTATGGGCCATAATAATGTAGGTAGGTATTATAAGATAAAATTAACTGTCATTTAACAAATACAGGCACACATTGCTATTATAGATGTTATAGACACAACACACCTTGTTATTATAGATGTAACTTTTTACACAGTGAAAAAAATAACGCTTAAGGAATGAAGATGGAATTTTAGAAGCCTTAGTCACAACCTCTCATCTTGTTTGTGACTCAGCGTAAGAATTCAATGTGTTTCCTTGAGATACTTAGTTAAAAACAACCCATTCGCTACGTATTCGGTAAATAATAAAAGAATACATCAAATCGCGTACAAATGTTATTAGTGATTTGACACACAATGATTGAGAAGCGAAGCATAAAGAAATATATTATGCCTAATTTGAACTGTTGCTGGCTAGTTTGTTTATTTTTCATAAAGTACCGGTTATATTTTTACCGAAAGTAAGTCCATTCGTCGGTCCTGTGAGATATGTGGGACAGACATGGACTGTGTCCATATGATTTATCAATTCTATTAATAAGTCATAATTAATCAGATATAATCGATTCCCCAGACGTTAAAATACAGAACCTTTTTACGAAAAGTTACATAATAATATGTTAAATCGAATTAGTAAATAGTAACAAGGATTATATGGTAATATATTAGAAATACTGATAGTAAAACATGACAATGACTCGAGGTATTTATATCATTCGCATATCAATAAAATGTTAGGTAATAAATAAGTGTCATTAGGCATTTACATCATCAGTTAAAAAAAAGGTAATAAATAAGTGAAATACAAATAAAATTACGTTAGTTCTCCATAAATTAATGGCATAATTCTTCGACAAATTGCATGCTTAAATTAATTGATCTTTAACATTTTTTGACAATTAAAAAAAATCTAGCTTATTGAATTCTCTCTCTCTCTGTCAGTCAAAAGGTTTGCATGAGGGGGATAACCCGAGAAGGTAAAAATACTTTCGGTCTGAACTACTATTTGGATGTTATAGCCAAAAAAATCCATCAGACATTCTGATATAGAAAGGATTAGGAAAGCGAGACTTCAATGTTTCCTTAGTGATTGATTGATCGTCTATATTCGATGCACCATAGAAGTTTTTTAAAAATCATTGGACCTCATTTTCTTGTTCCAGTCCTTTCTCCCTACTGTAACTACACAAAAATAGTAGTGATAGTCCTACGAGGCACTTCCATGCCTCGTGGGTCACTCGTAGGGACACCTTCTCCTCTGAACTCCTAGAAGTCTAATACTAGAAATATTATTAGGAAAAATTGTAATTTTCGTCCAAAACAGATTTCCAACCCAACGAGCCAGCTACAACATTGTAAACAGTAAAAATTAACAAGAATGCACCGCATATAAGATGCTTCTTAAGTGACCCTTATTCTTAAACATACATACATCCCTTAACAAAGACGCGTGCTGACACAGGCATTGTTTGCGCAGGTGCATCACTCTTTGTTCTCCAAATTATCGTTAACTCCACAAGCATGTTACTACCGACTAGTGTGTCATTTCATCTTTGAAACGAAATCTTATTTCAATAGCATACATAACTTAAAATGCTTTAAAATATAGTATTTAATTTATTTTTAACTTTAAACGACCACCCTCTAATATATTTCGAGTTTAAAACCGATAAACGCGTTTTATTTGTAACTACAAAGCTTTCTATATGTGCTGCAGAGACAGTTTTTTCGCAAACGAGCAGAAAACACTGTATCAATCTGCCTATGAGTTTATTTCCTTCTAGAAATATCGAATTATTAATTTCCTTGTTAACATTCGGCTCTGAAAAACGAAACCTCTCAAATACTACGTTTTCCAATACAAATAACTGAACAAACAGAAAATTAAACATTTCAGTTTTAGAATAATGCAACTAAGTTCCCGCAGTAAACTACGTTTTACCATAATATTAACATTTGAATTAGCCGCATATCTTGTGTGTTCAATTACTAAGATATTGTAAAATCTATTTATAAAGTTGACTAAGACGTGCCACATTCTTATCTCATCACGAGTCACGCAAGAAACGCACATGGGGCTTACGATGTGGGAACATCTCATTACGGACAAGGTTTTGTTGTGTATGGGGCAGGTTATAAACCCGATAGCGCTTTGAACACTCAATTGTTTTATCACATTCCTATATTATTAGTGTACTTCGCTTTGTAAAGGATGTTTGATAATTGACACTGGGTAAGGGAGGAAAATGTACTGTAATTTTGAATCTCGATTATTGGTTTGTTGAGTTTGACAATTGACAAGGGATAGATCGAATCGATTGTTTTTCGATTTATCGTTTTGTATAGAAACTTATTTGAATGTACTTATGTGATATCAAAGTAACGATTACTATAATTATAAATTGTTTATGGTTATTGGCTTGCAAGGCACTTCACTAAATGAGTGGTGGCCGTCTATATTGTACGTAAATATTATTTGTAGTACACAAAATGCATGACTAACGTGCTAACTGTTAAACTTATCATCCTATATTAGACACAGTACAGCCAGTATTATATTTTCTGTTTATTACCTAGCGTCATTGTTACCAAGGTCAAATGGTCCGATAACCAGCTGTAGTTTTATTAAACTATTTTAAAATAGTTAAAGAAAATTTGATACACGCTATTATCGTATGTTTAAATTGAAAACGATGTATTTTTCATATTCTTTTTATCCATCCATCACAATTTGAAGTTCGATAATGTATCCGTGACGTGAATATAAATCAATCAGATCGCGCGTTGGTGTTCAATATAATTAGAATACAATGTTTTTAGACTGAAATGTTATAGGTAATATGCACTTTTCTGACTCTTAATTCATTAACAAATTTGCGGAAACATAGATCAAACTATTGACAACCAGCCTTAATTAGAAACTGTTTATTTCCAGCGCATCCAATGATCTCTGCGAGCCTCCCCGGCGAGGCGCTGGTGCAGCTCGGGCAGCTGCAGCTGAGCCACCTATATCCTCCCCCCACCATGACGCCGGAGTTCCTCGCACCCCCTCCTCGGCCGTACCCGCGGTATGCGCCTCGACGTCGAGACAACATGCCCGCACCTCCTGCGCCCGCGCCGTTCCCCCCCCAGTACCCCAGTACTCTCCGTTTCTTCCGCATCCAGCGTCCTACGCTTCGTATTTGTACAGAGCTAGGGCTCCCCAGCCGCCGGCGTATCCACTCCGCCCTAGACCGACCTCGGGCTTTGTGCCTCCCGCTCCGGCACCACATTCACCACACTCGCCACCTGTGTCGGCGCCAGCTCCACAACCACCCCCAAGAGAAGTAAGTACACATACTACCAATGTTAAACAATTATTTAGGGTACACTTGAGGGTAGGTGAAATACATCAGCCATATAACATCTAAACAGTGTGCTGTCGCCCTATTTGAGCTATGGTTATTCAAAAAGCCAGAGACTGAAACCGAAACGCGATTAAAGCTTTATCACTTTTTCATCAGTGGTTTGTGACCCGGAAGGAATTTCGACATTCCTACCACCCATTTAATATCCAGATTTGCAGACGAAGAGATTTGCAACATGTTTCAAAAAAATTTGAAAAATGTTGGACCCGACGTCGATCGAACTCACGACCCGACGATTATTAGCCATACACTGATACACCAACGAGCCCGTCCAATAATTAATGCCCATAATGATTATTTACTCATATTAAATAAAATACAATTTTTAATTCAAAATTTAATAGTTAATTTAAGAGAGCTATTTTGTATATTCCAGGAGCCGCCGATGTCACCAGAACGCGGCGTTCCAGCCCCGTACTTCTGCAGAGGTGCTCTAATTCGTCTCGAAGACGGAACCCTACGTCGAGTGGAGGAGATGAGGACGGAAGACTTCGTGATGAGCGCAGAGGGGAGTGGGGACCTCTCCCTCACTCAGTGCACGCTACTCAGGCTGGACGAGCGAGGAGACAGACTTGCGCTTACACTTGCTTATGACAGAAATCGATCACAAGTGAGTTGAATTTTATGTATACTCGCGTAAATTACAGACAATATTTATGAAAATTTAAGTGTCATAATTTAATTATTCTTTTCATTATTATAAGAGGGCGATAAATACAATCGGACGCAAATATCGTATCGCCCGTGGGGCAGGGGGAGAACACGTATTTTACGTACAGGCAAGTAGTTAATCAGACTTCTGTGCCCTGTCCGATAGAAACAATCAATTGTTTTCCCTGGATTCAAACTCAGGACCTTTATCGTATAGTAAAGCTAGAGTATAGCTAGAGTCATATATCCCACAGTATAATGCCATATGTTCTATAAAACAAAACGAGAAGCCGAACACTGAACTTAAACTTACAATGAATGATTATTTATTACAATTATCTAATAAACTTTTCTAAAAATATCTCACATCTATTCCAACGTACTAAAAATAGCTATTTGTTTAATATATTATTAAAATTATCAATTTTGAGCTTGCTCGTCTTCCACATAGTATTACGATTCGTTCCTGCTCAAAAAAAATAGAGCTGGAAATACTTTGAAGGTATCTTAGTAGAATGTTCAATTCCAATATATTCATTGTCAGAGGCGCGAATATCGTGAATTAAAGTCTGCACTCAAGCGTTTGGGGACTTAAAATAGACGGCCTTCAACATCAATGAATGATGTCTACTTATGTCGTAAAGCGCAAACTACATTTACGAGCAGTCGTGATTAAGAATTGCAATGTTGAAACGGCGCGGGCCCCGATTCTGGTAATTTACAGAGAGAGAGACGCGAGTGATAGGCAATGCAATTATACTAGAATTACAACGGCATAAAGCCAGTATTAAATGGCATATGCCAGACAACTGTAAACAGCATAATTAGTCAGCAGGTTTTAAGGTTAATTTATCGTCAATTGACCTTATTTTTCTTGTAATATCTACCAATAATGACGCTGTACTTTTAAAGTTATATGACATTTAAATAAAATACTGTACAGTTTAAAATCGAAATATATTATTTAATTTAAAAATTGTTTTAACTATGGCCCAATGATTTGGATACCACTCGCGTAAACTACAGACAGTATTTAGTTATATTATAATTATGTGGATGTAGTTCTAGAGCTTATTTGTACGTATTACATTACAGGTGGAGTTGGAGTCGACTGTGGAACACCCATTTTTCGTCTACGGGCGCGGATGGGCGTCCTGCAAGCCTGAACGTACGTTAGCGCGGTACGGGCTACGAGTACAAAGGTTGCAAGTGGGTGACGTCTGCGTGTCCTTGGTGGCGCGGAAACCCACTGCTACCACCACAGCTGTGCCGGCCGCTCCGCCGCAAACGTATCCAGAAAACCTCAGCGTCAAGGAAGACGCGCGCAAACGGCGATGGTCGGCTTCCGACGTCATCGACGATGGACCGCCATTAAAAAAACGTTGAACAAGCTAACCACATGGTAACGAGATCTTTATACAACTTTTCTTCGAGCCTTTTCTCGTTTGGTATGTCCAGAATATACTAAATGTCCTAAGACTCGAAGTATTTGTGACAATTTATCACCACGTACCGCTGGCGTGGGTAGATCCCAGTGATTTTGCGTACTGTACGCAGTTCTCCAGCGATCGGCAATCCACAATGGTACGCTTAATATTCTATTCGGAACTAGGTGCTTTTAACAGTCGGGTGCTTCTATATGCGTTTGTGTACGTGTAGATATCTATGTTAAGTCACTGAATTATATTTTACTGCGGAGAAAGGTTGTCAACGAAATTTTCATAGTGATTAAATTATTTTGTAATAGAAACATATCAGGGAGCGTGCAGTTACGATTATGTCCCCGCTTCTTTAACGCCGGTATGAAGATTTCGATGATAAACATGTAGAGCCAAAGTCCACTCTTATTTCGACGCCATTTTATCCACACTGAACGGTGCGGATAGAGAATGTACGTTAAATATTTGATCGCGAACTCCATAAGCACAAAATGTAAGGTACCAGATCTTTGTAGGATAGATTTTGTGATATATAATGAGATTTCAATCGCCTGTTGGCAGATGATCGCGCTCGTATCTCCGGTCTCTGTGGACAATGTTAAGGTACAATAAATGTTAGCTAGTAGTTACACAATAGTGTCGTGTGCTTAAGTATTGACTGACTTCGGGGGTCACCCGAAGGCCTCATCGCTTCTCGAACCGCAGTCATTCGTACTTCCCTCATGGTTGTGACTGCAAACATATCCATTCATTTGGTAGATGTCACCCGGGCGTTTTACTTCCTTCCCGTAGCTAGGATGTTCTTCTGAACTGAACACTTCTGACAAATAATTCGACTTTTTTGAATATAAGTAAATGTTAATCTATATATTGTATAAAGATATATATTATAGGCATCGGAGACTAATATTGTTTTCTTGCGCTAAATGCACGTACGTCTTTAATTTTCAAAAGAATGTATTCTCAATCATTTAAAATAACCTTTTGCTATCAAGGATGTTTTCAATCCGTTATCTATAAAAACTAATACAGACCTTCTGCTACGGAGCATTTTTTTTTTTCAAAACTAAATTTGAATTTAGCGTATGAAAACGACATTACTTTTCGGTCTCTCTATTATCGAATGGTTATGGTTATTAGATGCCATCTCTATTGGTTTTTTAACGTCCATGTGTTACACACATAACTTTTCTATGAGAAGATGTATACATAATAAACACACAGTCTGTGATATTTTGTAGTTATTGGTGGAGAGTAGGTATGAAGTATTGCTTGAAACAAAATATATATGTTTTAGAATAATAAGTGCGTTATTGGTAAGAAAAGCAAGTTAACACTTAAATAGAACACAAAAACAAATTAGTGTCTGTGATTAAAAAACAAAGTTATCGTGTCACACACAGCCATATCAAGAGGAAATATTATTAAGATATTCATGTATATATTTCGTTTGATTCCAAATTTATTTGCACAATATTACTTCTACTTGAATGAATAGTTATGTTGTCATATGGATTTGTTCTGCGGTGATTAGTTTCGATTGTCGTATTTATAAACTTCAAATGTCTTTGCTCTTCCATGACTTCGTCTTATGTGATATGTTAACCCTGAAAAATTACACACAATTTGAATAAAGCAATATTTCAACAAGTTTTGTCAATCAAGAATGATTGAAATCTAATCACTCTGGTTTATCTACAATAATATGGTCACTTCTTATGTCATCTTCGCACTTATCGAATTATTTGAAATCGGCAAACAATTTTACACATTCAAGATTGTCTGTTTACGCAAGTGGTACACATTGAAACACTGAACGGTTTTAAATGCGAAATATATTAGTTGTTTGATCTTTACCTTTCTTGGTACCGAAGAAAGTTTATTTAACTAATATATTTCATTTGTAACCGGTGATAAGTGGTTTATTTTATTTACATTTCTCAATATTGTTTACTGTAATATGTATCGTTATTCAAAAGCATTGCAGTTGAAGCGTTTTTATGTCCCGATCACATGTGCTTTTTATTAGTATCTATTAAACAACATGTTATACATATAGTAATTGACTTGATAGAATAAATTCACCTACAGAGGTGTCGTAAAATTTAATAATTTGTTGTATATGTAAATCTAGTTTTATCGTCTTATATTATTTGTAATGAAAGATCTCATTTAATTAATCGGTATTTTCTAACAAGGCGCTTTCATTAGATCATGACTAAGCCTACCTCACACACTTTAAGACTAGTGCCTCGCCGCGTCTCCGCCCGAGCCAGTCATATTCAAGTCTAAGCAAGATCTCAATTTGATGAAAATAAACATTTAAAAAGACTGGGATGCTTTACTGAATGTGGGATAGTAGTTTCTTCGATGATATTACTTAAATTATGAGATAGGAGCATTTATTTGACGGCACCCTGTCGGCAGGATGGACAATCGTTTAGTACAAAATTCTCTACAAGTATTATTTTTCAAGACCCAAATTCAAAAAGTATTAACGTTCACCTAAAGGTGCTAAGTGCAATTCAGGCACAATCGCAGATGGTTCTGACTCCAAGAGTCAACTTTCGCCAGTTCGCTCATATGGTGGTTGTAAATAGTTATTGGCACAATCGATGTTCTTCCGCGTCCTCATGGACCATTCATAGATTACGTCACCCGAATTTCATCATCATCATCGTTCCCTAACCCCCCTCCCCTTCGTGTGACGTCACTCCGTTTGCAATGTTTTACCTTGGATTCTTGTCAATTCTGTATTGACGAATGTGACGTCATAGAGTTAAGAAACCTAGTCCCCTAAAGCGTGACGTAATTTTTGGTTGGCCCCTTGTGTATTTACTAGGTTGTTATATCGTATCGGTGTCCTTCGTCTAGTTTAACTAATCCATTCTAGCACATACTTTCATCAGTTTTATATCAGATGTTACGAACTCTATGTTACATTTAGTACGTGTTATTTGATAGTAAGAATTCACTATGTCTATAGTATATTTAGTAAGATTAGAAATAAAGCAAACTAACGAATAAAAGCGTGAGCGAGACGAAAGATTTTAGAAAAATGCAAAAATGTCGCGTCTTCGTCATTCCTTTCATTTATTTCAATGTAGAATTCATTTTTAAATTTCCTTTCTCAAACCGTTTTACTATAGTCGAGTACATCTGACCCGAGTGACTGAGTTATATACGTTATAAATATAATAAAAATAGAATGCGTTATATAAATATAAGTTTAAAATTAAAACGTTGCCAATGTTAAGTACGGCCAGTTATGGTTCAATGTTAGTTAACAGGGATTCGACACAAATGATTGTGCCATCCTCAAATCTGTGTAAAAATGACCAATAAAGGGTTTTATAATCCACAATGATATATTAATAACATAGTATATTATATAATAACGAATGGTTTTAATATTTCTTATGTCATTTTCTCTCCAACTTATAAACCGTTAAATTGTAAAATAACCCATCAATTGTGGATATTAAATGTAAACCGGTTAAAATAATGCGAATCGGAAATAGTGTTGTTCACAAATCATCGACCATTGACAATCTCGCTGGCTCGTTTATAATTTAACGGTTTATACAATTTTACGATTTGAACTGACATCGACTGAAATAAAACAGCTGATTCAGTCAAAAACACTACAATAGGACATTTTCAACAGGAATTCTGTGTCATTTTAATAATAAATAGATATTATAAATTGTTATATATGACAAATATATGTATATTTTATTGTATAGCGGATTGATTAAAATTCAGACTAATGTAAATTGAAGTGTTATAGACCGAGATATTATGTTAAATAAGTTAACTGTTTGTAAAAAGAAAGAGAAATATTATGTATAATTGAATATTTGCTATCACTTTGTTTCATTACATTACCCTTACACACTTTTATAAATACCACCTTTTTAATGACAGAGGAATAACTAACGTTCTTTTTGTTGGCAGGTGTAAATGCCATAAAACATCTAATTAAGATGAATTTTCTTATTTTGTCTTTCCACATTCAAAAATACACTAAAAACAAAACACATATTCCTAGTCCATTTAATGAACCTAATTTCAAGACATGGTTGTAGAAACCAATGACAAGAAAAAGATGTTGAAAAAATAAAAACATTCTGGTCACAGTGGGGACTGAACCCATGACCCTTATACCTTGGCACTTCCCTCATACATTGAACCAACAAACCTGCTTAATTTGTGCCTTATTTATTCTTAATAAAATAAAGGAGCATTTATTGAAAGGTAGTAAGTAGTACATAAATAAAAATAGCTGAGTCATTTAATAACGTCATTTATGTGATACACTTTATCAATCGCACAAGAATAATCTTAAATCCGATAAAACTCAAATGTATATTACATGCGTTTAAGTTTCATAATCTCCTACACGAACAATAATAGTTGCAATTTAAAATGACATTTAGCTCGAACATGATCAACCATATAACCCCTATTTACATTCAAAGGTTTAATACTATATAAAACTGTCACAACTGTTGACTTATATGTAAAATAGATAAGTTACCCAAGGGTAAAAATGATTATTTTCTAAAAAAGTATTGGCGTAATGACTACATGACAAAAGGGGCAACAATTTATTATAGTGACATACCCATATAACATCTAAGCAAATTGCACTGTCGACCTATTTTGGCCCAGGATATTCAAATAAGAAAGTACATATATAGATATTCCATTAATTAAAAAAGAAAACATTTAACTGTTTCCGTTACTTACAACTTGTAGCATGAAAGCACGACAAACTAACACACTTTTATATATTTACATAATCATTGGAATGTTAAATTATAATAAATTATTTTCTTTCAAATAATACAGTTGTTTTATACCAAATTTTGGTAACTGGTGTTAAGAATTAAGTAGCAGTTATATGGTTGATGTAACAACTAACGACAACCAGAAGCAAGAATAAAGCTCTAAAATATCAATTCATATATCAGACTTGAGGTCGAGTTTCACTTTCTCTCCAGGTTTAAAAGCTGGCATCCCTAGGTATGGGCAAGTCGCACAGCGGAAAGCATCACCGAGGTAGCACTGAAAATAAGAAATAAAACCATTATTGCTGTTACAAGCTTACAAGGGATGAAACAATAAAACCTCCATATTATAGGATAGTAGAGGTCGATAGAGCAGCTAGCTAGAGCAGACGCTAGGCAGAGTAGCCTATATTCATACTCTATAAATGTTAATCTACAAGAACACAGTAACCAAATATTTTTAACATAATTTTAACACAGATAATAATTCAAATTTATTTTCGCTCTTTATTGAAAGTCATGTTTTTTGTTAATAGGCCATTCTGCCTCTAGCAGCCTCAGTTCATGCTTGAAATGAAAAGTATTGAAACATCATAAGTGTAAACACATCAGGTATATAGTAATCAGCCGATCTCGGGTGAATAAATAACCTTCTATTCTGTATATTATAACCTTAATATTTATCGCCAACTTTAAAACAGTTGCATTATACCGATCACATAAATATAATGTACGTCTGCTTTATACTAAATATAGTAGGAGCATCAAGCAAATTAAATATATATATTTTTTTATATATATACACACGTTGGAATCAGTGCAATAGGTATTTATAACTTTTATTTATTTATAACTTACGCTCCCACATGAAGACTTTGGTGTATCCTTGACTTCTCCTTTCAACTCTTCAGCTAAACCGCAAGAACAATCAGCGCAGGCCTTACGTTTGCCAGTTGTCGCACAAACTGTAAAAAATAAGACAATTTGATGTTACAATAAATTTAAATTAAAAAAAAAAAACAACATTATTCAAATAAAAATAATTCTACAAGTTCTTACGGCCCATCCAAACATAATATCGGAACACAAAACCTCAACTCGCCAATTGATACACGACTTAAAACACGTAACCTCGAACTTCTTCGGAACACAAAACCTCAACCCGACAAAGCGCGGTTGTTAATATTTTTTATTCTTTATTTTATTGAATAAAAATCTTGCGTGTATTTTAAATGTGGATGAGATTTGACTGTATTTTATAGTATTGAAGAATTTACATACAACAAAATACTATAATTATAATCCTGATAGGAAGTAATTTTCTACTATCTTAAAGTTATCAAGGAATAATAAAATGTTAGTAATCAATAGAATCTTTTAATATACCTGATAATGATGCCTGGTCTGGTTTCTTAAGGTCATCTTCATCCAACAAATTATCTGCATTAATTGTCTCTTCATCATTAGCTTTTGACCACGCATTTTCCACTGTATCATCTAGTTTCCACACAGCTGGTTTTCCATTTAATTTTAATGAAGCTTTAGAGCCAACCTAAAAATAAGTATAATAGATTTTTTATATATATATGCATTTCAATACAAGCAAATTTCATCAGCCATGCACAATATCAACCACTGCAAGATCTACTTTCAGGTGCGGTGAAGTAAAATAGTATTTATTTTTTAGATTTTGAATAGGGTCAGGAACCACTGATTAGAAATGCAAAATATTTTATTGAGGGATGTTTCAGTGTATATAACATATCACTGCAACCTATAGAAGTTAAAAACTATGGAAAATATGGATTTTTTTTTCTTTAGTTCCCTTTGTGTGTGCTGTGAAAACCGTTCAAGAAACAAAAAAACAATGATTCCTGTTAAAATGATCTAAGAAAATGTCCACAACAGTACAAATATATCTATATTTTAAGATTAACTCGCAAGAACCCTTTTTTTATGGTAGAAACATAGTAATGCATCATGCATACATTTCAACCAATTAGTTGCAAATACATACTATTATTAATCTTGCAAACAACAAAATAATGTTTTCCAAATCAGCTAGACATTAATTACATATCATACAAAAGATGTTTCTGCTATTAGATTTTACATTAAATAATCACATGGATATATATTAATAATTACCTCAAAATTTGGTTTCTCTGCAACATAGATATTATCCGTCTTAAATATGTTCAGATATCCATTTAATTTCAGAGCTGTGCTAATATCATTGTGGTCCTTCAAAATCAATTTTCCATTCGGTTTCAAGAGTTTGATTAAAATTGCAAGCAAATTGTCATTGTGTTGGATAGAATGTGGTGCTAGCCAATTTGATAAGATTATGTTAAAAGATGACTGAGGCCTCGACCCTGCATAAAAAAATGTAGTTATAGTAAAACCATTTTTTTTTAACTATGTGGTAGAAATAAAAAAGTTCGCACCTTCTGTTATCATAGCAGAGTTTTCGAGAATAGGCGGAATGTTTGTCACGTTCAGGATTTCATTAACAATGTCATTAATTTCGTTTTCTTCAGCGTTGTGCCAAACCAACAAAACAGTATCACCAGATTTAATATTTTCCATTTTCCGTCGATGGCGGTCTCCTTTAAATGATTACACTATCAGGAATTTTACTTCTGTCTTCTTATTTTCAGCTTGCTTAATTATGAATATTAACTTAAATAATGAATAATTTATAATCGGAAATTATGCGAATACACGATATTATTAAGTGCAAGAATTAAATGACTACCTGAAAAGTGATCACTTCAAGAGTCGAGGTTACAAAAATGATTTATGTCAATTGTCAAATCACTAATGTCAACTAACGTAATTATGGCCTGTGGCGACTAATTTTTGGGATAATGTTTTTCAATTTGTTTACCTAAAAGTTTACGTTGAATATTATTGTATTCATATCATTAATGCTTTCAATGTACGATCAACACACAATCAGCAATCAACTTCGGCCTCCTTCGGCTTATATAAAAAAAAAAGATTATATCAAAAATTGCCACAAAAGAAGATACAATGTTAAATGAAGCCTTTTTCTCAGGCCTATGGGCCTCTGCAGGCAATACATTAGGAAAGCTAGCGGGAACACATTCAATAGTAGTAAATACATATTTATTAAATTGAGCTGTTTTTATTGTTCTTACATCTTAAATAAAATATGTATTTATAAGTGTTTAGATAGTTTTAGTGTAGTTAGTAAGATTAAGCCCATTAAATAAGGATTAAAATATAAAATATTAATTGTTTAATTTATTTACTTGATGTTGTATGTATATAGTTTAAAATAAATGGTTTTCTTTATAGGGTGACAGTTATGTGATTTGGGCAATAATTCTCATCATTATGGTGTTGGTGAACACATGGAGTCTGAGACATTACATGAGGTCACTTGATGCAGCTCCAAGTACTGTTGTACCTACTGTGGTGTCCTCGGCATCCAGCTATGTCCTATCGGTTAGTATGTTATGGACTTGCTTGTAGTTATTCAGTTATGGGATTATGTGTGTAAAAAAATGTCTTCCAAAAAAAGTAGTTAATCCTTCTTCTGTGCTTTGCCTGACTGAAACATTATATTGTTTGCCAGAGGATGAAACCCATACTGGGTGGACTCACATGTTGTATGCAATGCTAGTCAACATTTAATCAACTAGCTAAGGCAGCTAGAGGCAGTCTCTCAACAATACTATGCAAAAAATTATTACAGTTTCCTGTGTTTTCTGATGTTCTTTTTATAGGGCAATCAAGCAGGATCTACCTTGTGCCCTGACAGACCAAACAATATAAGTGGATTTAATATCCCAGACTAAAAGCTATTTAAATTTTAGAGAGAAAGCCTTACCATCTGATCCTATATTGATTACCATCTCAAGTATACATAAATTTTACTAAATAATTTACTTGTATTGTTTCAGGGTTTATTAGGCATCATCCTTTTTAATGAGTCCACTTCAATGAAATGGTGGTTTGGTGCTTTACTTATTATAGCTGGACTGGTGTTAGTATCTCTTCCACGCTCAAAGTCAAAACATGTCTCCGCCAGATCATGAGGCTGACTAAACTAGTTTAATTGACCATGTGATATAGATGATATGTAGGCGTTCTTAAATGTTTAAAATGTATTGATGGTATGTGTAAAAAATTTTTGTGTCATTAATAGTATACAAATGTTTAACTTATTAAAGATTTGTCATATACAATAGTCTTTTAATAACTAATACCACCATTTACAAAGAATTTTAATGGTTTAAAACGCGAATTTGTTACATTATGTTTAAGTTGTTTTGACTACAACCCAAGCTTTGTATGCTTTGCAGTAGCCATGGTCACCTGGTGACTTAACCAACTTAAAGCAGCGTTTTAAGCCATTGAAACTGTTTTATTTTAAGGTGTATATGTGTGAAAAAAAATTGTTTTTTTTAACAGATTTTATTTTATGGCTCACTGCTTCGTACACTATAAATATAACATCCGCCTAACATTAAAATAATGTTATGCATCATAGCTGAGTGAGCCTATTGGTTAGTGGAGCATAAAATTTATAGATGCAGTAATATAACATGTTGGTTTTTTTGAACTCAAAGTACCCATATACTTTGGCGTTTTAAAAACACAAATTAAATGAAGATTCATGGATATAGGTAAAAAAGGTTTTCTTGAATTGAAATCATAGGTATAAATACATGAAGGATTTGTACCTAAAACAAAGCGTGTCGAAGTTTTTACTTTCTGTAAGTATAATCGTCGTATGTTTTTTGTAGCATTTGATGTTTACCAAATTTCTTATTTTACTCAAGATTTTAGACACCTACACTATTGTAATACCTTATTACAATAGTGTAGGTGTTTCGTAAGAAAACCAGATCTTTTTTATTTCAGCATTTTTTTTTTGCCCTAGAAGGGCATTCCATTTTATTTTACTACGTCCCGAATCATGAGTACGGCGATTACTTCAGTATATGGAATAATTGTAGTACACGGCACGTATATACCTGGAATTTTGAAATATGAAGTATTACCTCGTAGGTACCTTAAAGATCACGGTTATCTGTCAATTCCGGCTATCTCTACCAAATTAGTGACGGTAGTCGTAAAAGCCTGCAATGGAGAATCTGCAAGAGCAGAAAACCCAGAAATAGGTTTTATCCGATATTCTATTTACTTAACACATGTACACTGGCGTCCAAAAGTGGAGATTCTGCTTTTAAATTAATATATTCGCAAATGCCCTAGGCGAAAACCTTAGGGTATTGTCGGTTTCAGTCTGAAAAACAGCTTCAGGCGTGTTCTTAACTTCACTGCATTCCATCTATGAGTGCCCGTACCTAACTAGAGCTTTGAAAATCTCTTCATTTAAAATTCTAACAGACATCTTTTGTGCATAGAATGTAAAGTAAGGTCATTAGATTGTGGAATTGAAATAGAATTTGTATTTTTATCGATTTTTCGTAAATGTAATAAATGAAACCCGCTGATGGTAAATAGACAGAAAATTAAAAGACAGATAAACGAGATAAATAAAAAATTTCACGGGTTAAAACGTGAATTATATGAATTAAATTAAAAAAACTACTTAGATAAAAAAAATACGATGGTCTACAACGATCTGTGCTGTTGCTCTAACCAATTGAGCAACAAGAGTCCCATATAGGTCGATCAACTATTTTTTAAGATGAAAGCAAAAATATATGCCCTTTTTATTTCTTTTCTCCTGTACTTCAGGTCGCCTGGAAGAGATCGCTGCCTAGCGATAAGGCCGCCCCTTAATTTATAAGTTAGTACGTAAGTTTTTATCTTTTGTAGTTTGTTTTGTATACATTATTCGAGTAAATAATGAAGGTATAATAAATAAATAAAATAAAAAAGCTATATTACTTCATTTAAATAAACGAGTTTAAGCTCAGTTAGCTTTGGCCTTAAAATGCGTTTCTTGCCATTGCTTGGAACTCTTACGCTGGAGAGAAAAATGATATTAGAAAGACTTATCACCTACTTACTTACAAAACAATAAATCTGGAATTCACCTACCTATTTCATGTATTTTATCTAAGCACCTAGTTACTAACTGATTATACAAACACGAAAGGAATGACACGAAGTAGTGACTTTAAAAATCTAATTATTGTAAATAACGTTGATGTGTCTACCGACTTATACAAATGTGTATCAATTCTAATCAACACAAGAATTAATCCTACGAAGTCGCGCGAACTGTCGCTTCCCTCTTCGCGTCGTTGGTCACGCCGCCAATCTTCATCGCCGTGATGGTATCAGTGAATATAAGCCTATCAATGTCATATATATTATTCAAGATAATTATGGAGAACACCTTGTGAACGAACGCCAGCTGCGATTACCAGTAACGGTTTATAGTTTACACATACTGTAAAGAAATAAAAAGAAAGTATAATCTTAATACTTACAACCATTTTCTTACTCTTTGTGTGTAAGAATTAGCAATCAGGACACTACATGTTTTCAAATAATCCAGTTCGAATCGAATTCAGAAAATATACGTCAAAGAAATCTAACATGAGTCTACCCAGAGGTAAACGTACGTTTTGTCCCAGCTTTGGTCCTTATTTGCTTAACTAAAGACCTAGTGTTGTACTGAAACACTAATTCATGAACTTTTTCTAAATGTATTGTACTGATTAAGGGTTGATGCAGCCTATTTGATACCCGCCGCACTGCCTCTTAATTATTAAAATAATAACTAAGTAAGTAATAGTTTATTTCACTAAAAAAACAACAGCTAGGCTAAAGTACGTCTAAAATACTAATTTCGTTTAGCTTGTCTATAGTTTCGGGAATACTAATGTGTGTAACATTTCAATAAAACTTTGTAAACTGTTTAAAAAACATATATATATATTGGTTAACTAATTTTCGAATTACTTCGAATACTTTGCACCGGTTTTGTAGATAGTTTACATATTTTGCGTTTTATTCGTTCAGTTTTGCCACGTTTTGCAAATAATGAAGTCGTACAAGAGCTTTTGACTAATCTTTTGCAGCTGAAGCTTTTATCGTATTTCAGCTATTTCAAAAAAAAAATTGCAAAAAAAACTTACAAAACTTATGTTTTATCCATATTTAAAATAAAAAAATATAATATTCAAATTAAAAAAAAAAATACTATTCTATCGATATCGACAATGCCGTATGAACATCCCGACTTTTAGACGCAGTCAGTGACGCTGTTCAGCGAGGCTCGGCACTCGGCAGTGGCGCGCCGCCAGTAAACATGAATGCATGTATTTTTTGCTCCAACGACTCCTGACTTACATTACGCGAAAACGAGGATCGATACGGCCAAAACACAGTGAAAATTAACGAATCCTTGCACCCATACATGACACAGTGCCCACAATTGACCATATTATAGTCTGTACAAATTAATTATTCTTATCGATGATTTCAGTTTACCGGCATCAACAATGTAGTCATAGTGATGTGAATGTTGACAATTTGGCAGTTTGATAATGACTTAGTATTATGTGTTGTAATTATTTTATTTAAAATGTTGATAAAATAATGTTTGATGAAATTGATTGATGCTTAGTCTTAGTCTTATATATTGTTAAATTGTTATAGACGACAATAATTTATATATCAGTTAGATAAGAAACACTCAAAATGGGAAATGGAATGAATAAGGTGAGTTTTTTTTATTTATGCGTCTCCAGTGGATTACGTAACTAACGCTCTACTGCTCACGACGGATTGCCGTACGAATCGCAGGCCGTTTCGCGGAAAAGGATATTTTAAAAAATATAGCATGCATGGAGTATATAATATTCGGAAAACAAACACGTTACATATTTTTAAATCGAAATCTTCATACGTCAAAACTTTTGGACGCATAAAGTTTAGTATTAAATTATACTACTAATAAATACTTTAACAATATCCCTAAACCAAAGTCAGTAAAAGTATTTTTTTTTCCTAAAACATTCTTCTGTGGGAAAGCAATATAAACAACTGTTGTTGGAAAGTGCCTTGTCATTTTCCCAATTTTCTTTTACACAGCATAAAAACATGTTAATCGTCTGTCTAATGTAAAAGGCAATAGTAGTTTTTATGAATAAAAAATAATAATATCATTGTACTAATGATCAATTGTACGTACAGTCGATAGGGTGGATATATATTTTTTTTAAATATAAAAATATCCTCTTTAAAGCAATAATAGAAAGTGGTTATTCATATTATGTAAAATACACTTTTTGAAACACTATCTCTACAGGACAGACATTAAATATATTTTTTCTTCATAATGTTTTTTACCACAGAATATTCTAAGCTTCGACTACACACGCTCTAAAACACTATTCAATATTTATCAAGCAATGGCAACATTTTGATTTGAGCTTTTAATTATCGTAATGGACACTCGTTTACATCAAAGCGCTGTTTCAGCGTTAAAGAACGATAAAGTAAAAAATTCAATAACAGTACAGATAGCAATAACCTAATTGCTAAAGCTAATATGGAGGTACTATACTTTTGATGTCAAGTTCTTCAGCCAATAGCAAGAAACGGAAATAAACTTACTTAAACTAAAACCACTTATATCAATATTTCAATTTAATATTGCATCAGACTGTTTAAATATCCATTGATTTATATTTGACGAACCTCAATATTTCCATAGTACATAACATTTTCGAGTACTTTTGTAATTGCTTTGATGGAGGGCGATATATCCCAGTCCTAAAAGATGCATATATTTGATTGAATATGTCTATATTTTTGTCATTAAACCATAACGCTTTTTAATTTCCCGGCCTTTCCGTCTGACGGTAGTTCTTGAGCTGGACGGAATTTGGATTCATTAATTCCTATAAATGTACGAATATTTGCTTTGACGCATTATTAAAACATTAATTTTTAAAGCCGCTTTACACTACCAAAAAGCCGTTTTTGCTATTAGTGGAAATAGTATTCGATAATATAATGATTCGAAATAAAAACGAATTGGAAATAAGCGTAAACGCGGTAAAGATGTGACCCAACTGGCGGATAGGTTCCCTTGTTGTTTATTTAACGATAATCTGCGCTTGTGTAAATGCTGTGCTGGGCTCTCTCTGTTTTATGTTGTGTTAATGTTGGAGTTTCAATAATGTTACATTGTAAGCAGATTTTTAGGGGATCCGACTGTAAAATTTATGTATCATTCATAGTCATAAACGACGGGTAAGTTAAGGTTAACAGAAGTTATTGCAATTTGATGATGTCTTTATTACGTCGCAATATATGTCCAAGTGTAAAATAATTATAGATTATACGAAGAATATTTTGATTTTAGAATACGTAATATGGACGGTGGATATGAAGTCCCGAACCCACAGATGAAAATCGTGAAACTGAAATCTGCGTTCAGTCTGTAGATTTTCAAATGTGGCAATGTGTGACGTTGCAGCTGTCAATCAATACTGTCCGTACCTAACGACTTTCGTCCTTTTTGTAGTTGTTGAGCCAAGACCTACCTACATGTAACTTACTTACGTTACGTTTCACGTAATATGTTTAAAAAAGAATATTATTTTATTGTAAGAAAATTCATGATATTGAAACATCATATCCATGTTTTGTGAATTATACCACATCTGTATATTAAGGCATATAATATGAAATTTAATATAACCATACGTCATTCGAAACACTTAATAGCAGATTATTCTTAAAGAAACCTCTCAGATAACAGCCAGTAATCGAATCAGTTTCAGTGGTCCTTAAGCTGAAATTATCGCTGCGTTTTATCTAATCGATAAAGCACAGCTTAAGAAAATATCTTAAATCCATTACGTGTCCTATCACAAATCATCTCAGCTCGAAATGTTTTTGTCAGCAAGCTAAAGAACTCTTTAGTGTAAACTCTTGATTTCTTCATTCATTTGATTATATAAGGTCAACGGAACAATGAATATTTCAAGCCATTCAATTATTCTCTTTTGTTTTAAACTTTTAAAGGGAATTTAAAAATTATTTTAGTTTAAAAACATTGATGACAGGGATGAAATCCCTTTTGATTATGTAAATTTTGTCAGGCTCTCACGGCCATCATTCATCATATCATTTATTTTTGGGCTATTCAGTTGACGAGTGAGAAGAGGTTCTCGATGTTTCGCCATCACGAGCGGACGGCATCATCAGGAGATGTTGTTAGCTCCTCGATTGCTCGAAGAAGAATTCTTCTCGCTTATGTCGAAAAACAATGATATGCATTATGACCATGTAGTTGGTTTAACAATAGAGCTATTGTGTCACATCTATAATTCTTTACATGTACATAATATATTTCGCAAAATCTGTTTTTTTGTCTCCTTTCTGTGTAATAAATATTTAATCTACAATAAGCTTTGTGTTTTTGGAGGTTGTACAATGTTAATCCATGCATAAACTATTTAATCATTCAACTTCGCGGTGGCCCTAGGCCGTTTGAAACAATTAAATGAACAAAAAGAACACAAAATATTTCAAACCTAATCAGTGGGAATTATAGTATAGATATGACGTTTAACGCTACTTGAATTATTAAAAAAGATATAAACTTTAGTTGGAAAACCTTATATCAATATAGGAATATATGAAGAAAAATGTCGCTTTTCTGGTCGTAGGGAAAATATTGACTTGTTCGGTATGGAATGTCTGTCGCTGTTGAAAATGTTACGAATATCACGAAGAGAGTGCGAGCTTTGAGTCACGCTATACACTTAAGTTACACGTTCAAATATAAATGCCTATATTAACAGTAAGTTATAAGGAAACATTTCGCTAACATTAAATATGGATAAAAAATTAAACTTTAAAATTTACATCATAAAAATATATTGCCTGAAGTTTTGTTTTATTTATTTTAAGGAATAAATTGACATAGACAAATAATTTATGCCCAATAAAAATCGAAAGCCATCCAAATCTAAAAACAATTTAGAAACAATTAAATTAAAAAGAAAATAATAAGTATACAATCCAACATATTATCATTTCATTTGATATATATATAAGTTTAGTATTATTATTTACGAAATAATATTATTCAAAGTTTCCGCTAATAGAAAAGTAATAATTGTATAAATTTGTTAGTAGTTTAGAAATTAAATTAAATAAGATTTACATTAAGACATTAATAAACTTACACTAAATAATATATATTACATTATTTACAATATTTGTGTTAAAAAGAGCATATGGTAGTAAGTACAGGTTTACTTGGAAAGCACTTAATCAAGGAGTATATTTGTTTTATGTTAAATTCAAGGTTTACGTCAAGATGAGGTTGATAGAACCTTAAAATAATAAACTTCTTGCAACACAAAGAAGTGGGTAAGCTCACGAACAAAACCTTTTTCAACAGAATCTTTTATCATCAGACTGCATTGTGCTGGGAATTTGTATATTCTAGTATTTCCGCATTTGTAATGAAGTAGTTTGAACTTTTATAACCATTGTGCTCGAATGAAAACCAGCGCTAAGTAACGTGCACTATTGAACAATACAATCGGAATATCTTCAGTTATTCATTAATTATTTATAATGAGATGTTCAAGTATTTTGTTTCAACATTCCTAAGTATACATTTTTTATATCTAACATCGTTAAAGAAAAGAGGTTGTAAGCACGTTCTTGTTAAATAATCATTATAGACAGGAACAATTTTAAATATTATATAGATAATAGTTAATCTAAATGAGAAACTACCCTCCTGATATTTTGAGAGGGTAGGCTTCAAATCCTATGTAGGCGATAACGGACAGAATTAGTAAAACTGTCTATTCATTGCAGGTGCTTCCAGGGCTTTACGTGGGAAATTACAGAGACTCAAAGGATCCCGTACAATTAGATAAGTTTAAAATAACGCACATTTTGTCCATCCACGACGCCGCCAGAAGGATACATTCTGTAAGTATTTTTTTACATTGATAAGTTACATATTAAGTAGTAAGAATACTCAAAAAATGGTGTTACCATCTGTCGGCGCTTCATACTTAAGGCTTAATTGTGTCCATATTTCCACGTTAAAAATGTCTAATAAATAGGACATTTTTCAGTGATTTAAAACGAATAAGTGTTATTTTTTACTTACGAGGACGTAAAAGATTCATACACCAAAAATATACTTCGCATTATAAGTCGTTTAAACGACAAACTACAGATGCAATCCGACTAATAAACTATACTAATATTATAAAGTTGAGTTTTTTTATTTGTTTAAACCCGCCAATCTATACTTCTCTATCTATATTAATATATAAAGCTGAAGAGTTAATTTGCTTGTTTGAACACGCTAATCTCAGGAACTACCGGTTTGAATTGAAAAATCTTTTTGTATTGGTTAGAGCATTTATTTGGGAAGGCTATGAAAGATCGTGTTGTGACTAATAGGAGCGAAGAATCAGTACGAAAAAAGATAAAGGATTCAAAGATGAAGAAATTCAAGATACCCAAAAAATATGTATAAAATAATGATTCCTCTTTAAATGGACTAGAAAATTCCGCAACATTTATGTCAATCTATTAAGATTTACTTGCAAGAGCGACGAGACGCGACCAATGGCGTAACAGTCTATGTTTATAAAGGATGAGCAAGTTTGAAAAAAAAAACAAATTGTGACACATTTAAATAAAACACTTTAACGGTTTAAAAAGTGATATATTAGTTAAACTTATTTGAAAATGATTTTTAACTTCGGCCCGACGTTTCAGATGTAGTTAAGATAAATTTAACTAATATATCGCGTTTTAAACCGTTAAAGTGTTTTATTTAAATGTGTACTACTCGCGTAGTACTTCTCGTAGACCGTATTTAACAAATGGAGGTGTAAAAATAAACCATTTTACACGGACGAAGTCGCTGACACAGCTAGTGACTCATAAATTGGGAGATACTGTATACTGTAGCTAGTTAACATGAATTATTCTCCACAATTTTACACGCGATATCCGATAAAACCGTATTTTATTATCACTAGTGGCCTGCAGCGTCCCTGGGTCTTGTAGTCCTTGGACACTGAAAAGACCTTGTGGCAAGCTGTTCGGCTTTCACCTTTCACGGATTGTTGTTTTGCAATTTTCTCTAAGCGATAAGTATTTCTCATAATTTATGGGCGGAGCAAAATAAGTTTATATCGATAAATATTCGATAGTTTTGAGATTTGTATTTTTCTATTAAGTTATTTGTCGTCGGACTTTTGACAGGGTCATTGGACCAATGGGAATGTTGTAGCAATGTAGCTAACTAAAAATGTTACATTAATGGAAAAAATATTAAAAGTTTAGAGTCGAAAGCTGTAAACTGAATGCAAATCAACGTTCTGCTTGCAATGGTAGTCCGTAGTGAAGGGTTTTTAAGTAAAAAACCCTACACTGGATTTCAACTGGGTTTTTTACTTATTATATATTATTTCACCTTTAATTAAATTAAAATTAAAACACGTTTATTAGCTTAATAACTAATTATATTTTTGTGTGATAAAGAATTAATAAACTAATTATAATTTTATTTAAATAAAACACTTTACCGGCTTAAAACGCGAAATATATTAGCTAAGGTTTGCAAAAGCCATAGTTATGATAATTTTTAAATAAATTGAACTAATATATTTCCCGTTTTAAAGCGTTAAAGTGTTTTATTTAAATGTGTTCTACTCGCGTAAACTACAGACGATATTTGATTAATTTTATATGTTATAAACTAAAACCAATATACACATAACCTATGTAAATGTTAAACTCGTACCGTTGTATGATATATAAAAAATAGATCAATCTTATGAACTTTGATCTTATCGAGATGACTTACCTACGAGTAAGTCATCTCTTTCAGATTATAGAAAGAAAGTATTTTCGCCAATTTGAAACGTAGAATTTAGACGGCAAAAACTTTTTTAAAAGTAACTGAATATTGTACAAAAATGTGAGAGATAATCATTTACGCTTTAAAGTTGCTAGTTTTTAAACCCGCTTCAAGGCGAGAGACTGTCAAGATATTCTCTTTGCCTTCAATACCACGTAGCGAAAAGGTTACATTTTAAATAGAAAACATTTTAGAAATATGTCTCATGTCACACGCGATTTAGTTGAATGTGAGTTTTAAACTACAAATAATATATGTTTTTTTTTTGTGTGTAGCGCGAGAGCCTCAGAGACAAGAGAGGTCTTGTGTTCGAAATCCGAGGAAAAATGCGTGCGTGCGTGTTGATACACGCATCATCGAATTTTTTCTACCGATTGATATTGATAGAAAAAAAATCGATGATGACGATGTAGGACACGTTATTTCAAAAGTTTTGAAACAACATTTCCCACATAGAAGGGAAACGGGGTAACACACTTTTTTACCCTCTTGCGTTAGTAATATACTTTCTTTCCAAAGTAACATCTCAATGACAATATTGTACTTTTTCGGATCAAATTACAATCAAGAATTAGTCAAGAATGCGGACTTTCGAAATTGGCTTCGTTCCTTTGATAACTGAACGATGCGATGTCCTCGACGTGAATCTCTCATCCCCAGTAAGTGAATTGTTCGGATGTTTAAAATCGATTTGGTTATAATTGATGTTTAACGAATTTATCGAAAATCTATTTGTTCATACGACATAAATCTACATCACCACACTAAGCTACCGTACCTTAACAGTTACACATCATTAAATTTTGGTCACAAAACAAATAATTCCTAATGTTTAAGCTTGGAAGTATATAACTTGCCCAATGAAATGGCGGGTTGTACCGCTTTAGAATTCAATATATTTACAACATTAATAAGTTGTAAATCTTTTTTAAATGTACCTCATCGTTGAATTTTTATTTCAACTTATTGATACATGCACCTCTCGCGCAATGTAATTTCAACCTTAGCACGCCTTAATACGCAACACAAAGATTGTTAAATCTTTCTATAATATTCTCTTTTGCCAGGAGCAACGTATGCGCTTCTAAAATGTGCTGTCGTATTTGTAAAACCGTGGTTTTATAACATTCGTAGCAGACTCTACAAGCTGCGCCATAATGCAATATCGTATCACGAATAACCACGGTATTAATAACGTCTCCCTCAGCTCTGCATCCCTTCATTTATTCACATTCAGCTGACGAAGGCCTTATAACTTAATAACGCTGAGCTGAACCGGATTGTTCGGACGTGTAACCTGGCGTTTATTTGATATGGCATAAAATGAATTTGGATTTAGTTGTTTCTCAGTATTAGATGCCCATTTGATTGTAGAAGTGTGAAATTATTTTTGAGATTTTGTTCACGTAAAAGTCTTAGATACATATAGATTATTGGAGCTGTTTAAGCTGTAGGGTTTGTTTAAACGCACAAATCTCAGGAATCAATGAAAAAATCTTTTCGTCTGGATAGACCATGAATCAAGGAAGGCATAGGTATGACAACGCGCTGTGACCAATAGGAGTTAAAATAGTGGAAAATGGGAAAACATGGGGAAAATTATTTATTTTGAGGGCTTTCTGCTCTTTACATGGTCTTAAAAAATGTCCGCAACATGGTACCTTATAAAATTATCTTAACAAGAACCCTTTTTGGGGTAATCAATTTGTTCGAATTGTCATCGAGACATTAAATATATTAAAGGTATACTCTTAAATGGTATTTTAAACTTCGATAGAAAAGGGATGACAGCGTTCCCTAAATACTGTTGCTTTAACAGAGCTCCTAACAGTGATAATGAACTTAGAATCCTATTTAGGCCTTAAAACTATGTTTAAAAGATATATGTATAACCACTTTACACACATACTACACCGCTATTATGCTTGACATTTCTCTGAATAAAACTATTGCTTACCTACACGTTTTTCACAGAACGGCGTCGAAATTAGAAGTGGCACGAATGTTCCACTAAACTACATACTGTAAATAGTAAATAAGTAGGGCACATTGTTTTTGAAACATTCCCTTGTGTAATGAATTGATTTTGTTATTAAATATGTTCTCTGTTTACGACAATAAAGGACGGACAAGCATGACGTTCACTTGATGGTAGGTGATTTATATTTGGCCTATAACATCTAAACAAGTGCCCTGTCGACCTATATTAGCTTTGGATATTTGGAAATCCACAGACTGAAACCGAAAGGCGTTTAAGCTAACTAAGTGGCTTTTTTATCTGTAGACGGTGGTTCGTGACCGGGCGAAATTTCTACATTCCTACCACCCATTTAATATCCAGATTATCAGACGAAATATAAACCCGTTGTACCCGGTGGGGATCGAATCCGCGACCCGTTGATAATTTGCCATACATTTGCTACCATTAGACCAAGCAGTCCGTCAAAAATAAAAAAATATAACTCTTTAGTAACATTCGCCTGAAATATTCTTCGCAAAGGCAAATAAAAGGCTTCTAACAATCGACATAGAAAAATGTTTATTTATAATAATAACTTGGCTACTTATATATCGTGTACCCTATTTAGATTTCCATACGTGAAATCTGTTAAATGAAACGATACTATAACGACTCGAGGGTACAGTTAATTGAAATTGTGTTAGAAGCCCTTTTGTGAGCGTAATCTTTGCCCTCGTTGGTGGTTCATGACAGTTTTAACTCAACATAATATATCATAGATGACATACATACCCATAAAACTACATAATATATTCGGAACTAAATTCTTCGTAGACATAAAATCTGTATTAAATAAAAGTTATATAATCTATAACAGGAAAAATTTGTGTTTTTGTTGTTTAATGTTTAACTCAAAAAAAATACCCGAATTTCCTTGGCTACCATTTAATTATCATAAAATTTCATAACATTATAAAAGTACAGGAGTATATATTTTAACTATCAAATTAACTATACATCGAACATAGTAAGGTAGGTACCTTATAATTAACTAATCAAATTACTCGTTATCAACAAAACAACAACGTGAAAAAACGTGCTTGTTTTTTTTATTGTAAAAAAAGCAGTATGCATACCCAAGAAGGAAAATAGGCGGTACGCGTTAATAACGTCCCGACTGTCATTTTTGAAAAAAAATATCATATAAAAAACACTGTTTAGCACAGTGTAATGTCGTCACTGGTCATTAGCTTAATCAAAGCAACATTCCGACATCGCAAAATGGCAAAAAAATTTCGCATTCATTTGAATCAACGTAAAGGCGTTCTTACGAATACAAACATGATGTATTGTTCGAGTTTCTTTGCGAGACTTTGCTATTAGTAAATGGAATAAGGTTGATGTTCATTTGGAAATATATATTTTTTTGGTTTTTATTTCTACGAAGAAAAAATCCTAACTAAGTTTAACTTATGTATACGTCCTATTTACTAAGGGCACTAGACTCCTTTTCCTTAGAGAACGTTTAAGAGCGTAGACCCACCACGCCGATCGCGATTTACAGTTACATGCACTAACAACTACACTAGACTAATAATGTAGTTATATAAACCAATATTTTAAATAACTAAATATGGTTCTAATTATGGGCTATTATTTATAGATATAAAATATTAATGTGATATATTTTTATTTATTTCTGGTACCTAATACCCTTATTTGATATTAAGGTTAATTGATAATTATTATCAATAAAGTCCGCGTGTAATAGTTATTCTAAGCATTTTTTTGTCGAAGAACCTCCTCAGCTTTTTAAATCCTAGCTGTGTTCTGCGTGCCGTCGTTTTTGCGAATTAATTTTAAAAGATAGACATATACTAATGCGAACATTTCTTTTAGATCATTCTTTTATACATATTTTTGTTTCTCGAACCGTTTTCGCAGCGCACACAACGGAACGGGAAATAATTTTCCCCGCTTTTTTAAACATTTTTTACTATTTCTTCGCTCCTATGTTGTTATAATGTTATATAGCCTATAACGTTCCTCGATAAATGTTCTATCCAACAAAAAATGTTCTTAAATTCGAACCAGAATTTCCAAGATAGATTCACCAAACTCTTGGCTTTATAATATCAGTGTAGATAAGGCTGCGAATTTCTTCCAATACAGAATTTATACAGCTTATATTTTGATTCTTCTCTAGGACAAACATTACTTGTGCATAATGGCGTCGGATTCTCCTGATCAAAATCTCACTCAGTACTTCAGTCTTTGCAACGACTTCATTCACGCGGCGCGGCTTCGAGACGGCAACGTCTTGATTCATTGGTAAGTACTTAAAATTAAAAATACCGTAAGTTTCCTTTTTATTTACTAGTTTTTTATCTCACTTAATCAACACAAAAATCTTACTAGAAATCAGTACAAAAATGTGTGATCACGTGATCACAAAATGCTTGCGTTCCCCGAGCGGGCACATCGCTAACGTCATTCTGTAAATAAAAAAGCTGTCAAAAACCCTTGTGACACGGTGTATATATTAATTGTCACACGTGTCTCTTGCTTGCAATATTGGTGACGTCACTGGCTTAGAGGCAAGTAGTGTCACTTTGTATGAATTATAGGTAACGTGATCCGTGTCACAGAAGTGTTTTTGACTAAGAAACTAAGAAACGCATACTTTCTTTATTATTTTCACGAGTAATGCATAACTAAATATTGACGTAGCGTAAAGTGTACATTATTTTAAAACAATTTTCTAAATGAAATTAAATATCTTTTTCTGTATTAAAATCTAGAAATATTTTGTATTATTAAATGAAATAGTTTACTTTATTTTTTATCTGTTGTTACCACTTGTTTGTGCTACCTTAACCATTAATCTACCTGCAAGAGGGGATGATAGATTTCAAATAGTTCGAATAAATTGATAAAAACATTTATAACGAATTTTCTTCTTTTTTTATTTACTATCGCAAAATCATTAGTCTCATAAACATATGCCTAACTAAATAAATAAAATACACTAAACATACCTATGGCTATAGACATTTATTTTATTTATTTATTACCTCAACAACTTTTCTTTCTTGACATATCCTCTACAACTCTATTTGAACTAAAAGCTCCAAACTGTACGTTTACAAAGCTTTTAACCTCAAACGTCAGTGCCAGGCGCTAATTTAGGTTTCGTAACGAACAATCAATAAGTCGTTTCGATTTCACTTTGAACTGTCATCAAAACTACTAACTACATGATACGTTGCTTTCAGTAGATGTTTAGTGCATTGTTCAATGTAAATCCTTCGCGGGTTATTATTTTCCTGTGTAAATAAGGTAGCGCGACAGCCAGGGTGTCCTGCATTCGAGCTTCTAGAAAAACAGTACTTTCGGTCGGACAGGGCACAGAAGTCATCGACCACTTCCTGTAAACAAAAGGAACCCAGGAACCCATTCTCAAGGTCGTTAAATTTTCATAAAGAAAAAGATGTATTGACGTTAATAACGGAGAAAGGTACGATAATTACTTTGGAATAGAATTCGGAGAGATTCTGATTAAAAATTAATAACCTATAATTATGCGTTCAAATAAAACACTTTACGGTTTAAAACACTTATATAGTTAGTTGCATCAGCTATGGTCTCATCAAGTATCCGTCGGGTCGTAGACTAAGATACTAATAAAATTTCGCAATTGAAACCGTTAAAATTGTTTTAATTAAATGTGTACTACTCTCAAGATAAAGACAATAATAATAATATTATGTTTAATATTTTATGTTACGTTGTACGCTTATCTGTTTTAGTTTTTATTTTTTATTGGTTTAGTTTAAATATTCTCTTTCTCCAGTGAAGTTCACCATATTTCACCTTCTTTTTCTTTTCTACTAGGGTTAATTGGAAGCGATAGCAATTTAGCCCTTTGTCCACATAAATATAACTAATATTTTCTTTGGTTAAATACTGCCTATAGTTTACGCGAGTAGGTACACATTCAAATAAAACACTGCATCGGTTTAAAACGCGATATATTAATTAAACGTATTGGAAAGGCCCGACGTTTCGCAGTAGCAGCAGCAGCCGTGGTCACGTGGTCAGTCTTTTCGTGAAATTTTTTTGAAAATGATTTTTAACGTCGGGCCAAAGTTAAAAATCTGTTTCAAATAAGTTTAACTAATATATCGCGTTTTAAATCGTAAAAGTGTTTTATTATCTTCTGTTTTCATCGTTGACATCTGTTTATTAATTATTCAGTATTTGTAAATTATCTATGATAAAACAACGCTAAATGCATGTAGTAGTGCACTCAGAAGCTACATAAAAACATGTTTGCGTGATGTAGGCTCATCTGGTAGTACCAACCATTACATAAATTATGCTGGCATGTAGCCATGTCGAAAGCTGTAAAAGATTTATGTTAGCAGGCGTGCAATAAACGAATTCAATCATACATATGACATTTACTTACCTTTTAAGCAATAATGTTTGCGTAAAAAGAACGTAAACTTTACGGCGAACGTCCAGAGCCAAAATAAATGTTAAAGAAGTTGATATATAACAAATTAATAATATTTACCTACTTATGAAAGTCTACCCTCTAAATATAAGCTACATAATTTGTATCTCTCTTATTCTGTCTAGGGCACGTAAGTCTATCACTTATTGCCTGAAATAAAACTTAGTGAAACGGTACAGAAAGTCTTGCATAACGATCGCAACTTTTTATTTATTCTAGCTAATTAAAAAGTTTCTGTAGTGAAAAAGGCTAGAAAATTATTGAATACTTATATTGATTAAGCTGTACGTTAAGTTCTGTCAAATGTGAAAAGTCCTGGATTCGAGTACCGGGAACACGAAACTTTACTTTTCCTATTTTCAGTCTGGCCGGCATGTCACGAAGCGTGACAGTAGCTGTGGCATACATAATGTCAGTGACGCCCTTAACATGGCGAGAGGCGTTAAAAGTGGTGCGAGCTGGTCGCGCCGTTGCCAATCCTAATCTTGGCTTCCAGAGGCAATTGCAAGATTTCGAGAACTACAAGCTTGTTGAAGTAAGTCTATATCTAATTAAAACACTTTAAACGGCTTAGAACTGTAATTATGTTATAATTTTTAATTTTGATCCGACGGTTCGGATGCTTTCCAGCGGAGGTTTTAAACAGTTAAATTTGGTTAAGCTTCTGTAGTGTCATCTCCGTTTTACCATTTATTTTATGTCATAATTATATTGACCCCAAGGCAGAGCAACAACTTGGAATAAGAAAGAAAAGATCTTCAATTACAACACGTATTAAAGAAATTTACGAATTTTGACAACCCTAATGAATATAGCCAAATTATATAATGAGGCCTAAAACCCGCTACGAAGGCGTAAAGTTTTTACTTAATATCGTAGTGATCAGTTTGGTTGTTATAAAGCATAGTGTTTTATGTTAGAATTTTAGCAAGGTATAAACAAATATTAAACGAGGTTGATAGAAGTTCGTTTTTTGTCAATATATGACAACGGATTGAATGTCATGACTCATAAACAATTCCTAATAAATTATATAATGGTAAGCGTGAACAATTTAACGATTTCACCGATAAATCACGATACCATATTAATTAAACACCTTTAACGGTTTAAATCGCGATTTTATAATCTATCACACCTGAACCGCGTTTGCTGCTAAAAATTAACTACGACTTCATTAAATAAACTATACGGAAATACAATTAAATAAACTATTTTATGCAAAACATACGAATGTTTCAATGCGCGCAATCACCAAACATTACCATGGCCACATGCCGATGGCATATATTAATGAGATCACATGCTGAAATTTGTCTTATCATCGCAACGACAATCAATATGTTTTTTCATTAATTTGATTGTAAGCGATAAAACGAAAGATCTTTTCCGAGTTCAAACTCGGTTTATCGTTGATGGTTTCGGCATACATTTTAACAAAGCTTCGTGTCGTAGTAATATTTTAAATATAAAATTGTCTAATCTCCTTCAAGTTTTATAAAATTTATAAGGCTTTCGTAGCCATTTTGCAAAGTTAATTGAGATTGTCGTAATTATGAAATGGTTTCAATCAAATCGTAATTGATAACCATCGCTCAATTATGACGGGCAAACATATTATTTTGTTCAATGGCTTTTCCATTGGCCACCGTAGTGGGCCAGCGATGTCCGATCGAGCGCGTCGCGAATTATTTCCGATTTACTGATCAATATGAGATTGCTTCTATCACATTATTTCACCTCCCTATTTCGTAATCAGTTTAACCACAATCTGGCAACAGAATCGTTCATTAAACTTGACGTTATGTAATCTGCTGATCGCGAATGCAACTAATTAAACAGCCAATAGGTAAAAGTTCAAAGTTCTTAATTATACTAAGGGTATGTTTGAGAGGTGACCTTTATTTTGAACTGTCTTAGTTTCTATAAACAGACATGATTTTTGTAGAATAACAAATTTGCACTTTTTTTAAAGGAGAGATATACCCTAAAAAACTATGAAAGCAAAGTAATGACAATCGAGACTCGACTTTCTGTTAAAAAATATCTTCTTCACTGTAGATAATCTATTAAGCGCGATGCTTTTAATATTAATTGTCACTTTGTCTAACTAATTAAATAATAGAATACTACACTTAGCGTAAAATTAAGGACTGTCAAAAAATGGAACAGAGTATCCGAAACTAAATAAAAGTAAAACATGTAAATATTAAAGGAGAAATAAATATCCTAGTCTAAAAACCCAAAGTAGATATGAGCTGGCCACGGTATACGCTGATGGTAAAAGGAAAAAAGAACGACCAGTATTACAATGCTATGACGATATAGCTAGCTTCTGGGTCCGAGTGGACAGGAAAGCCAAAAATGGAATGGTCTAGAACAGCATGAAGGAGGCCTTTTCTCTTTAAAAGAGGTCTATTACTAATAAAAATAAATATATAAAGAATTATTGTTAATAATGATTGTATTATATTTTAAGTACTTGTTTTTCTATTACTGTTATGTATTTTATTAATTATTGTGTCTGGCAAATAAAAGGTTTTATTTATTTATTCACACATATAACTGGCAGGTCTCTAAAAGCTAATAATTAAGCTGAAACTTTACAGCAAAACTACATTAGTAGGTACGCAATGCCTTGCATTAACACACCCGCTATTCACATAATTCATTTCTGGGGTATTGCCCTCAAATAAACCCATTTGGGGTGCCATTGTCGGCCCTTCATTACATTTCTCAGTACTGTGTTTTCAGGAGCGGCGTCGGTTAAAAGAAAGGTATCCATCTCTGGCGCTTGCTGATAGGGATTTAGTGGAATGCCGTGTGATGCTGGACTCGTACCAGACGATGCTAAATCAGAGGACGATTTGTGAGGGCAAATGCGCAATGGGCAGACAATGTCCGACAGGTCAGTATATAAAAATAAAAATAGGAGAATAGAAGCGAAATGTCTTCCTAGATACCAATATAGGTAGAAATCCAAAGCTACGACTCTTTATTAAATATATAAACTACCATAATTTACAATATACGTTTTGTCTGCACATACTATTTCCTAGGTGTATGTAGAACTGGCTCCAAGAGGCAACCGCGGCCACGTCGTCCGTCCACCGCATCCGGGGAATCCCCGGGCTTGAAACGATCACCTTCCACGCTTTCCACTGCTTCCACCACTTCCGGTTATCGGCCGAGGTCTTCGCCGGCCGGCCTTTATAGTTATACAGGCAGTTAGTATTCCGTATCTATCCTAAATCGATAAATTATTGATTTTGATTTTTCCCTGCCGTTTGATACGCGTTAGGATGTTATGAACAAAAAATCCAAACGCGCTATTTTAGAATAACATTGATATACCTAATTTCGATAAGAGAATGTATTTAATTTTACAATCGATTATTTTCAATTGATTTTGTTTTTTTAACAATTAAAGTATATAATAAACAAAAGAGAAGAGTTTATTTTGGTTATTTGAACGCGCTAATGTCAGGAACTACTGGTTCGAATTGAAAAATTATTTTCGTGTTATTCAGAGCATTTGTCAAGGCGCTGTGACTAATAGGACGAAGTCGCTGACACAGCTAATTCATTCCTATATTTGCCACGCGCTGTTTTACAATAAGAACTCTTTATAACTTAAGCAGCTCCGTCCCGACCGATTCGTTCAGCGTCAGGACTGAGCGTAACGCGCGTGACTGACCCGATTGGGGGCGGCACTGCGATGGCTGTAGGTGGCACTGAATACTCCAGGCGTAGAGCTGCCTCTGCACCAGCGACACCAGCACTCTCACCTGCTTCCTCACCACCCGGATCGCCGCATAGGACACCTAATAGGTAATTGTTTTCACCGATGTGTAGTTGGGTGTGCCTTTCAATGCTTTTCAACGCGAAACCTTTTTTTTGCTAGAAATCGATGCGCCTGGACCATACCAACGGTGCAGTGGGATCCAGAATCCATGTGATATTAATTTTGCCTTCATCAATCGTCGTGTGAGGTCATTTTACATTTCTTTATCTGTTTAATTATTAAAGTGTATTTTTAGAAATTTGTTAAGTTATTAGTTTTCGTTTATTTGCTAGTGAGGGTTTTTAGCTTACCCCCCAGGAAAAAGGGGGCCTTAATACTTCGATACTAAGTTTACTATATGTCACCAAAGAATCTCAAAAGCTAGAGAGGTGGAATTTTCACAAATTATGAAAATCGGTTGAAGGTTTTCAGTGCCTATGCTGTAATAACAACATATGCTGAAAATGAAAGATTTTCTTACGAAAGGGACATATACCTTTTTGGCATCAAAAAAGTCTTAAAAAACAACAAAAAAAGACACAGACAACAGTGTCCTGTTAACATATATTTGTCATTTGATATTCCGAAACGCGATTAAACTTCAGGGTTTCTGTAGAGGGTGCGGTGGTCCGTGACCCGCACGGAATTCCAGATTTCCAGACGAGGTCCAACATGTTTAGGAAGATTATAAATTGATTAGAAAAATTTTGGATTCAGTGGGGATCGAACCCCAATCATCCTGTCAAAAAATATACATGCATATGAAACTTGTGAACGGTGGCATAGAACTAAACCCGCTAGTGACTCTTACTAGGCCGTTTTATTATCCATTTATAATTTTTACCTGATTAACAAACTCGGAAACTGCCGTCCAGCTAAGAGGATTATGTGCTTCAACAAGAAAAAAATACGTCAACAGAGTATTGAGATAATCGCTTTTAGTAGATTATACGTTCTTTAGTTTTAGCCTTTTATCGGATACAGAAATCACGCTAAGACTTGAATATTTACATGTTTTTTTTATTAATGTCTATAAGTTTAAAATATGAATGCTCGATTCACGATTTTAGTTACCTCACTTCGATCTGTATGCAATTATTAATACTTTTAGTGTGGGCATTTTTTAACTTGGCCTTAAACACAAGTTTTGCACGCTTCTATCATGAACATCCATATAGTCATTTTTATATATTCACATCGTTAACGGACGGAAATATGACTCGACGTTGCGGTCCTTCACGATGCCAAATTAAAAGTAACCAGATGTTATATACTTCATTTGTTTAGTTTACACCACTTGCGTAAGATTCAAAATAATTATAACAGATTGAAAGCTCATGTTGATATCTGCTCTTCATCAACCGCCTGATTGAAGTTTCCTTATCGTTGTTATTCGGCCTTATTCGTTTTAAGTCAATACTTTCCGCACGATTGCTTTTAGATGACTTTCAATGATAATCCAATTTATATTTGGCTTATAAGAATTTGCCCCATTAATTTCCACGGCCGGCTGTTTTAAGAGCCTATCACGCTGCTCCAGTACTGGTGGGTGGGTTTTATCGACTACCGCTCCTAATTTGGTGTTTAATACTTCGCATGTATGTTAGTTGTTTTCAGTTAAAATAAAATTTAAAGATAGTTCCCAAATATTTTAATTGTTCGGTTTTGTCTGTTAGTATAGTGACTTGAGCTATCAGTTTTGTGAATTGATACAATATATTATGTTTCATTAGGCAAAGTAATAATTTAACTGAAAAGGTATGTAAACCCCGTGTCATTAATATGAGGTAAAGGTACAAGAGTAATCATATAGTGTTTTTTTTGGTCGCTTTTATTTTCAGTCAAGTTGTAAAAACTCTGCCCTACTTGAGGAAACCTTATTGGAATTCAGCATGTCATAAAGAAGCTAAATCATGAGTTACTCTCTATAGTCATTCAAGTTCTATTGAATAAAATAGAGATAATATTGTAGTTTGGTACCATGTCGTTTTATTATTTCAGATCTCGTGCGCTACAAAGGTGCTCGTAGCACAGGCGACAATTGAATTATCCGGCCATTACCCTACCTGCTCTCGTCTCAACAAGATTTCCTGCAATAATTACAGAAATTAACCCAGTCTACACTATTTAAGTATAGCTCGTACTAGCTAACTTGGTCTTGAAAATATTTGCCATTCTGGCAACGTGCCCGACGACCTAGTAATAAATTCAATTCACAATGAAATATGGAATTCACCTAGTTCAAATACTAGAACGATAACTAGGAAACTTGAATAATTGACTTTTTTAAAGCGAAATTTGGTGGGTAGTTTCAAAAAAGTTTCATTACTTTCATACAAATTTCACACAATTTGTGACATAATATGTCAGTAAATCTTATGTCACTTGATTAAGAATTTCTCTCGATGTGTATTTGAATCCCTGTGTTTAATGATACATCTTACACTGAATACACCTTCTATATAATGAATTGTTATATTATGTATGGTGATGGCAGGACTGTGTAAAAAACGTGATATGTTGATTGGATGGAGTGTTATAAGGCGACTATGGAATTATTTGCCCAAATCATCTTTTAAATGCATTAAAAATCCACGTAAGAATCCACATCTATGTAAGAACACAATTGACGGTAGATAATAATTGCGATTAAAGGCTAGTGACCTGAACTCTTCGTGACGTAGGCTGGCTTATGGAACAATGTTTCAAATTAATTACGTTTTGGTATGTATAAATTGGAAATATCGAAAGATTATACAGACCTAATGTTGAGGGTAGAAAGTGGTTATATTAAGAGTTGCAATCCTATTTAGAAAATGAAGATTTGGCAAAACGAAGTGGCTAAGTTTTGTACTATCATTATATTTATATCATCAATTACAACGACAATTCTCCCTTATCTCATTAATGATAGAAAATAGAGGATGCTATGTATGTATGTATATCTTCTAACTACTAATAATTATACTGCGAACTACACTTTTACTTCTTTTAGTAGCTAGACTAGATGTTAATGTAATATTTTCTTCACAGAAAAAACAATATACGGTTTTAAGTAGATTCGCTATATGTACAAAATATAACAACGTAAAATAGAATAATGCGGGACACTAAGGCATTTCCTACTTTGTGAAAAAGTACAAACATTTTCGTAAAATATTTGCTTCTAACATTTATTTGGTTTTTCGTATAATCGCTATTATAAGGCATCGCGCTTCCCCTAAATAACAAATTTATTTATTACCAAAAAACTATTATTCTTTTTCTTCGTAAAGAAATTATGTTTGTACAACACGAAAAGACGCGAAGCAATTTTAGTTGATAGCTTTAACTTGTCAAAATTTTTGATCTACCCCGTTGTCAGTCCATTTGTGTAAGGGTGTTTTCTCTCTTCTTAGTAACTAAGAATCTATCTATCTTGTAGCAACATATTTTTCATAATTAACTAATTGACTTTGCTCAAAACTAGTACTTTTTCTAAGTAGAATGTAGCTTTACTACTTAGCTATACTACATTGACTGCTTTGTAAGCTGAAACGTTAATAAACATTTTGTTCATCCGTATGCTAAGCTATATTTCTCTTGACATGTCAAAATGTTGTGACAAAATAATAAGTTGTGAATTTTGCATATCTTCTCTCTTCTTAATAATGTAGATTAGCTTAAGTAAATTGGTGATTAAGATGCCTTTATTACGCACAGTGTTTTCGGTTTTAGAAACCGTGAAGTTTAGTAGGTGGCAAAAGTAGTTTTTTGGTTGTAGTCAGGGCCGGCGTTAGGGAGGAGGGGAGTACTCTAGCCCTGACGCCAGAACTGATTGTAGATACATTATTTTATTAAACGTTTATTCGAAAAGTTGCTAATTGTGGTAACACTTGTATGTAAGCCACGATAAAGGGAATTTGAGGGAAGCTGTACCTATATTTTCAAAGGTATTGTATTAAAATAAGGCGATAGAAATAGTAATATGGAGCTATTTTTAATGCCTTACCTTCCCTAACTACCCCCTACTTTTAAAATTCTTACTGATTACATAAACGTATATAATTTTATTGTATAAAACTTAGATTCAGTGGTGATTAAACCTTAAGCTCCAAAAACAACATAAAGTTAACAAACAAATAGCATTTTGTATTATTAAAAAAATCTGTTTATATATAAAAAACGAGATTAAAAGACCCTATAAGTCAACATGCAAAAAGAGAAAGCACAACTTAACCGAGTAAGCCCAAAAAAGGGAACATTTTGATATAACCTCCGCGATACTTAAAAATTATTATAGATATGGGGCGCAAATACATTCCAAAGTTTTATTTTTAATCTATGTTATATTTATAATATTGTTAATAAAAACTAATTTAGTTTTTGGTCAAATGGATAAGGTGGAGCATAATTTATATTTAAAGAATACATATTTTGTTATTTAATTTATTCATTCATGTAATTTTGACAATTCAAGGAAACTGGTCCTTGAGCTTGTATGGTAGTCCCACCACTGTTTAACTTATGTAAAACCTCACAATGCTCCCTCTTAACAATATGCAACGTAAAGTAAGTAAATTTTAAGATCTGAACAATTTAATAAAACATTATCCATCTAGACTAATCTAACTCTTGCATATCTGTCAACTGTATAACCAACGTGTGTCTGTAAACCTCCCGTAACTTGTATACAGAAACAAATGACGTATTTTACAAATGTTACAGAGCACTATTTTGGTCCATTTTTGATATTATTCATAGAAAATATTATTACGTTGAAGCATTATTTTAACATTGTTAAAAATAATTCATAAGAATAGTATATTTTTTTTATTTAACCACACTGATGGCGTAGCAATAACGAGGGAATAAACCCAATGATAATTCTAAATAATTAATAATGCAATTGTATATATTTTTAATAAAACCATTGAATTACACAGTGGGAGGTGTTTTATTCCCTGCAGAGTCCTTTAGAATTAAAACAGGGTAATGTATTTAAATATTATCATTTATTATTACTTTTAATATACTCTTAAAAACTCGGGACTAAAACATATTATCATTATATCTAATATTTGTTTGAAATAAAATCGTTTAACTGTTAGTCTTTGTTTAGAAAAATAATTTCATATTTTCGAACAGACAGCGGTCCTTATAAGCTATGATAAATAGTTACAATAATACTTAAATTAATGTCACTTAATTGACTCTAAATGTAGACAATAAAAAAATTTAAACGTTAAAAAACCATCATCTAGGAAGCCTTTTCACTAACTAGGTCCATTAAATAACAAATCTGTTTTTATTTACATTAAAAACATGGACATTGTACCATTTCGCTTAGGTTCCGCCACATGCTAGTTTATCTACACGTAAATTGGGTAAAAAAACATATAGTTAGAATATATGAATTGTAGAAAGATTTAAGAGTTATATATATTTCCATGGGAATATAGTCAAGGCCTGAAACTTGTAAAAACATGAAAATAATCTTACCATTTTGAAAAATGCCATGAACGGACTTTCCAACGACATTCCAACTTTAAAAATTGGTAGTATTTTTGTTATTAATTAATTATTAATTTCCGAATCCGAACCTAACTACGTTCTGCTAGATGCCAGTAGTAGACTTAATAGGTAGTATCAAAATAATCCATGAAATGTAGAACTTTAATCAGTGATAGAGTTCATATTATAACTTGAAAAGTGGATTCAAAAATCGGAAATTGGATACTAAAATTGGACGGCGAAGCAATGCAGTGTTGTTTCAAAGCGAACTCGATTTACAAACTTCAAACATCTATAACTCCTTCATATTTAATTAAAAAAGAAAAAAGTTGTAGTGCTAACGTATTAAAAGGATAAAACTAAAATGAGGAAATATTGAGATACGAGAGCAAATTAAATTTAAAACTGTTCTTTTCGACAATAACTGTTTTGTACACCCTTAATGTTTATATTTCCGTAAGACTATATAATATTTAAAATATCTATTACGCGCCAAAGTCGTCTTGCATAGGTCCATTATACTTAAGTTTAGATTTGAAATATCTATCTGTGCTAAAATTCTTAAGTGACTTCAAATAAAAAACAACATCAAATGCAACAACGAACAACTAACATCAAACAACGAAACAAAATTATTTGGTTTGTGACTTATTCGTAGACATTTTCACGTACAAAGTACGAAAGACAGACCTTAAAGTATAGAATATAAAACATTAATAAGTATTATATATTTTTTCTGAATCCACAAAGGGGTAGATATATCACGAAGGACACGAATTGTTAACGTGTTACGTCATTGTACTGCCGGGTGACAGAAATGTATAAGTAGCGGCACGGATCTTTAGTGCTGAACGAATCCTGCGCAGAAGTCAAAAATAAGATATCGACAGGGACGGAAGCGGGCGGGGGGCGAGTGAACGTCATGTGCTCTATGGTTGATTGGTTCACCAGTAGTGTTGTCTTTTTCGGACCAATACGACGCTCCGCTCGCCTCTCAAGTACAGTCACGTATTCCAATCAATTACGTGCGCGTATGTACAGATGTGCACCTATCCCCTCTACACTTCTTTCAGCGCTAAACATCCGTGCCCCGACGTATACACCTAGATGCCAGTGTTGGTGTATCGATAAGAAGATAGCAAGTTAGCTTCCAAAAATAACCACTATAAGAAGACAGATTATAGCAGATTTGTTTTGACATTAGGAAGGTCGAAAAGTGTTTTTCTTAGAACTTTTATGTAAAAGCATCCCTTCATCCGGCGGTACTACTATTGAAAACCTCACATTTTTAAACCATTGAATAATAAATAATTTAAAAATAGTTCTTAGTAATTTCAGTTTTCGCCTATCCATACTATCAACGAGTTAAACTTTGGTCCTTTACTGAAACTCGTCATCGGAACTGAGTAGGGTCGTCTTTTCGTGGTAGTTCGTAGCTTGGCTGATAGTAGCAACTCTTTGTGGTGGAGGTCGTGGGGCTAGAGCCGCGCCTTCTTCACTGCGTTTTCCCGTTTCAGTGCCACGCATGACTAGAATTTTTAATGCATATCAAAAACTGAATTGTCAACAATTTAAGGGACATTAATTCGTAATTCATTATTGCAATAACCATACAACTAATCGTGAAAATAATATGCATTTGGATGAACGAGCAAAATCATGAGTGCGTAAAACATACGCATGCAGCAAATTAATAAAAGAAAGCAAATTAAGATTACTACTCACCATTGTAACAGTATGGAGACGTCTCATAAGATTTAAACAAATGTCTGATAGATAGAAACGTTTATTAAAGAAACTGCGGAAACAAGAAATTAAATCTAATCGACAGGACTTAAACCTAAAACGTAAAGACACCAATATCGTTAAAAGCGTTTACGTCAAAAGCAATACAAAACTTAACCGTTAAAATATCTACAATACAGGGCTACATACAAAGCCAAATGAGACGTCGGAGCCTGTCTTTGGCAAAATAAAAAATTCGCTTCAACCTTTAAACCTGTAATCAATTTTCGTTTTCGACACAAGCCTAGCTTCAACTACGGGATTAAATCCGTTAAAAACGTTACATAAGAGAAAGTAAACGATCACAGAAACAAAAGTACTTTTACATACTAATTTTTAATCGGGTGAGGACCGAGAGGAGATGTGGTTGTATCGAGAGTAAATAGATATATTATGAAATACTAATAATAATATTGCTTACGAGTAAGTTCGTTCGTTTTTTATCTGGTTATCCAAGAATTTGACAACACCCATTTCCAGCCCAGGATCCTCGTTTTAAATTCTAAGCACAGTAAGTACAAAAAAGGTACGAATACTAAGTGGCAATGATTAGTCCGAATATATAACTTAAAGCGAATATATTACATTAAATACATGCGGCCAATATATTTATTTTGTTATTATTTATTTCGGACTACTCAATAACCGTAATGAATAATATTTAACGCTAATATTTTATTATAATTAAAAACTTAAATAACGAAAGGTTCTTTAAACCGAGCACCGAAATTCAAGGTTCCAAAAGTTTATGTTAACACTTAAAAGTGTTTAAAAAACATGCATTTTAAATTTACATTTTATTTTTTAGATAGCTTGTGTGTTATGTAATTTTATAAGAATGTAATGTTAAATGTAGCATGAAAATTACTCCATAAATCACGCTTTAAAAACATTTATTATAATTGTTTCTCTGTCGCATATAACATGTTTACAAAAATATAACTATTTGATTCATTATTATTAGTAGAGTTTCCATGCTCGGCAGAAAAATATGTTACTGGCAACATTGATCCTAACTTTTTTTTTGTAATATTTTTTTTTTTTTATTCAGTCACAAGTAACATAACAGTGTGGGAAATAAGGTACACATAGATATTTATATCTCTGACACAGACTGCTAAAATGTTTTAAATTCGCTTAAGAATTCAAATTCGGAATTAAGGTTTTTAGTGTTGTGTCAATTTAGTACGAAATATACGAATATGTGGAATAGGTTAATTTTTAATAGTCTGTGCAAAGACAAATACAACGAGCAGCAATGCACTTCATGCAGAGCACAGCTATGGCAGAGCTTAAAGTTTCTCATAAGGCAGGTGGGAAGTAACATCTGAAAGGAATAAACCAAAAAAATAAAAACTTTATATACTCTGAGACCGCTCTATTTTTATCATAATATTAGAGAATGTGAAATTAGTATGGTATGAATAATGAATGATAATACCAGATTTTTACTATTGTAATTGGCTATTTGACAGTTGTGGTATAAAAATATTTTTTAGTATACATATTAGGCATTAAACTAATTTTTTTTTATTCAAGAGATGCGTAAAATTGAGCGTCATATCTCACGCGATCAGTTGTTTTGGCGGGAACTTTAAGCTAAGATATTCTTTATACTAAATATTGTCAGACGTATCTACAAAATCTACAAAAATATTTTAAATAAGAAGCAAATAGTCAATACAATGGTTCTCAAAAATACAAGCTTACTGCTAAATCTAAGACAAAATGGACTATATTAAAAAATTGTATTCTGGCAACACGATTTCAAAATCTGAAGTCTATAGACATTGACTAGAATCGATTACCCATATTTAATAAATATATTATATAATTATAACATATTTTGGCTTATATAGCTTAAATGTGGTGTATAGTCTCTACTCTGGCAATTGGTAATATAAACGTTACAGTAACGTATGTCAACGAGTATTATAATTAGCAAATCAATGTAAGAAGCAAACATGCACTAAATAACATGGACTCACCCGAGCTGTACTGTGTGTATTGCTGATACTGCGGGTGGAAATTGTGGAACGCATCCGTCATTATATCCTTCGGGTTCATTGTCTCCTGGAAAATAAAAAATACATTAATAATCATGGAATACGCTTCAATAATTTTACTTAAAAACACATAATGTTAAGAAAGTTACAAAAAAAACACTGAAATTATGTGTAAATCCACATTCTTTTAGGATCTGAAATCTATATATATATATACATCTATCTCGCTATGACCAATGAGATATGAGAATTAATAAAAATGCAAGAATCATACAATTTGTCACTACGTTTTTTTAATGGACAGATAAACATGCGTGGTTCATACATAACCGATAACAAGTGAAGTGTTATATCTAACATGTTTCAGTGACCAACGAGACCGTTCAATTTTCCGAGTCCTTCTAAATCAAATTAAAATTTGGCAAATTTGCTAGTGGAAGATAAAAGACTCTTATAAGGCTAACCTTAAGGCTGCTGGAGATAGATTGCATGGTGACAGAGCGATGCGGGTCACGATGCGCATGCGCATATACGCTCGCGGGGAAAGCGTACCGCAGCGCAATAGCCGCAGCGAGCATTTCAATACATATGAGGAAGTTCTGGTAACCCGCGGACACCGTACCGGCCGTGGTCGGGATGCCGTTCTCGTCTATAATCGGCGATATCACTTCCGCTTTCTCGAGGATAGCCAGAGCCACACCTGCGAATGAACAAAATACCTTAACATTTTCCTTAATTAAATTACCTACCTTCTATCTACCTCCACTACTTTACCCGTTTTAATGTTTTTCTATACTATTCAAAATGTGTATAACGCATAAACCTTATAAATACAACACGTTCAAGGTTTAAAACGCGAAGTGTATAAGTAAAACTTATTTTCATTTTTACTTTGATATAAGACAACCCTCCATCTATAGTCTTATTAACAATTATTTTAACTACGGACGTAGTTAAAACAATTTGTAAAGTTCAACGAATATATTTCGCGTTTTAAACCGTTAAAGTGTTTTAAATGTGTACTACTCGTGTAAGATTTACCACATAACCTTTTCTACGTCTGCCATTTCAGATTAAACGAAGTCGTGCCCCAATTTTACACACATATGACATTTTGGCGTTAAACATTACATTATTTGTCAAAGTAATGTTTTAAGATATACAACAAGCAACTGTACTATTTCCAAACGCAAGAACAAGACGAGACTTAGCCAGTCTTGGTCTTGGTCTTGCGCCAATACACCTGGTCTTGGTCTTGGTCTTGCGCTCCCAGTCTTGGTCTTGGTCTTGGTCTTGCAGCAAGAGTCTTGCAAGTCTTGCAAGTCTTGCAATTACCTATTAGTCTATTACTATTTATTAAAGTTTACTTTCAATCCTAGAAAAACGTATTAGAATTGGAACATTGTGAGCTTGAATGAATATAGCCATAGTAAAGATCAAGCAGATTAATAAATAACTGAAGATTTGATAAGAAATTCGAAAAATCAACTGACCTATATGTCGTTTTCCATGGAAGTAACTTTTTCTTAATAAACATTTATGATTTATAAGCTTACATTTGCTAAAACATGTAAAAAAACAAATTAATTACAATAACTTGACTGTATTTTAAAGAACAATACTTATCTGTCTAAAAAAAGATTGAACCCTCAACTTATAAGAAATTTAATAAAAGTGTTTTACGATTTAAATAAAACACTTTAACGGTTTAAAACGCGATATATTAGTTAAACTTATTTGAAAATGATTTTTAACTTCGGCCCGACGTTTCGGATGCTTTGCAGCAGCCGTGGACACGAAACGTCGGGCCGAAGTTAAAAATCATTTTCAACTAATATATCGCGTTTTAAACCGTTAAAGTGTTTTATTTAAATGTGTATTACTCTCGTAAACTATAGACAGTATTTAGTTTTACGATTTATCATTTATTTGAATAAAAAATAAAATACAACACAAATCAACAGCTTTATCATTAGGTTATGATACTTTATATCAATTTTTTTGACCAAGAATTAATACAAAGTAACCATCTGCTCTGACTCATCACTTAACCTATTTCTATGTTAACAATAATATAAAGCGTGTAAAAAAATTCGAAATTATTTTGCATGAGTATACCTACGCCCTATGGCGACAATCAAATAGTGTCAAATGTTATGATTTCGGCGTGGCGGCAACGATTGTTTTAGATTTCAAAAGAAGCCGCCGGCGCGTGTATCATAACCATGTACTTCCGAAAAGCGGCAAATTTCTTTGAGAAGTAAGTACAAAACTTTTGATGCCGCATTATCAAAGTCCCGATGGTTAAAACATAACTATGCATGCACTCAGTTTGATTTTAATAATTTTTTTATTCGCTATGTTTATGGTATTAGTCGTAATGCGCATAGGTCCAGTTTTTCATATTCTTTGATACAGTTTTTTGCGTCTCATAGAATTCCTAAGCGTACCTACCTACACACCGAACTGTTACTTCTAACTACTCAGTGAAATAGCGCTAAGTCCTAGCTGCAAGACGCAAGAGTCTTGCAGGCTATGTCTTGTTCTTGCTCAAGTCTTGCACGGTCAGTCTTGGTCTTGGTCTTGCTAAAAATACGCGGTCTTGTTCTTGGTCTTGGTCTTGCAAAAACGCAAAACAAGCCAATCAAGACCAAGACTGAATTTGGGCAACACTAAACTGTACCTTGCCAGAAGGACAAAAAGATGACAGATTTAACGGTAAAGAACTTCAGGACTGGATCAAATGGTTTGAGCATCTCCCGAGTGGCGCCGAGAAACAGGAAGAGGCCGTAGAGCGCCAAACTAACAGAGAAATTGTAGATGATCGTGATGTAGATGTACCCGCCGTTTGGTGTCCAGTCTCCATCGTGATAGTGGCCAGCCGACTGGAAAGTTTATACGCATTAATGAGAAATTAAATAAAATTAAAATTGCATTACAAAAGCATTTATTGCGTTTAGAAAATATTTATACTCTATATATTAGACATTAAAAAAATCATAATTCACCAATTATTTACATCGTAATCGTAAAGATGAAGAGTAACTACCATATTTTCCTGTGACCACGACTGCTTCGAAGCGTATGCATCGGATCATAGGTAAAAATAAGTTAATTTGTACCAAATTAAAAGTATTTTATTTAAGGGCAATGTCTGTTCGATTAGATCATGAGGTATACAATACTTCGGTAGATCTTGTGTGCCTACCCTTATCGGCGTTTAAAATCCCGTTTCGTCTACGTAAAGCATAAGGCAAAGGTACTTCAGTGCCCTGGCCGATACTGTCTTTTCTCGGAATTGAAACCCAATGGTTAGGGCAACAAAGCTTATCGTATGAGACTATTGATATAAATGGCGACACAACTTCTTCATCATACTATTTCGTTATTATTACAAAACAACGATTACTGAAAAATGTGAATAAGTGCTGGAATAATCGTGAATCATTAGCGCATATCTTATCTCTAAAGGCGATATTTTATCATTCAATAATTATCAAACAAGTACTGTAAGCAATATTTGTTAACAATTTGCTTGTTTACGTTTTTCAATTAGTTAAATCGACCAAAGATCATTCTAGATACAAAAATGATCTCCAAAAAATAATTCATAAGTATAATTTTTCAATACGTATATCATATGTATCTATGAACTGTACTTTTAAGAAAATATATGTATACATATATACTTTAATATGCATCAAGACTGTATGCATTTAATTTTTCTTAAAATTTTCTTAGATTTACTAAGATTGACTTATTGTGGAACAATGTTCTAGAACAGTCTTATCTAGTTCATACTTCGATATTTTAGACATTGAAGATATTAATAGTAAACAATATATATATTTTTAGTGGAAAGTCTGCTTTGTTATATAAAATAACACTCATTCTTCCACTGACGTGCTGCTATGTATTCGAAGGATTCATATTTATTGGTCATCAAGGAAAATGGCGGGGTAATTCACCGTTGCTGTAGCGACTATGAGGACAAAAGGAAAACTAGCTACGAGTATACAGTTTTCCTAAGGCAAAGTACTAGCCCCATATATATTATTACTGGGATGAGTTGGGATGTATATTTGCTATGCCAGTGTTTGATGAATAGCCAATTATAAATATTTTTTTTCTTCAATTGTTGATTGTTAATTTTTTTACAAGTACCTCGTGTTTCGGGAGCAAAACCGTAGTCGTGGTGTCGGGGAGCTAAAGATAGCTAGCGAAGTAGATATGATTTACATTATGTACGCCGACCAATCGTAAAGAAAACCGGGAAACGGGTCCAAGGTATAATAACCCTATCTTAAATTTTATGATTTAAACGGTTTAAAGTGTTTTATTTAATGTCTACAACTCCGATTTACTGCAGATTATATTCAACGTGATCTAAGCAAAAGTTCTAGGAATAACATTTAGCTGAGATCAGTTCATGAGTATCAAGATCTCGATGAGATATCGCAAATATAATCATTTTACGATTCAGTATTAATAAAGGGGTAACATTTGGGCGTTTCAGGAAATACTACTCTCTTACCTGAAGGAAAATGATGACGAAAGCGCAGACGGGCTTAATCAGACAGAACTGGAGTGTGGCCTGTTTGCAGAATCGAAGGAAGCCAATCGTGTACGTGGCGCCAGAGAGGCAACACGTGCCATTCATGCAGGACGCTCGCACGGGCCTCCCGCGCAACTCCGACATTATGTTTCCCTCGCCGCCCAGGTACTCGTAACAGAGCGAGAGGAAACTGTAGATCACGAATGCTGTAAATACAAGAATACCATAAATAATATATGTTCAAGTAAAATACGACGATATCCATAATTAGTTAAACTTATTTGAAAATCATTTTAACGGGAGACTCTTGCCTGTGTCCTCGGCTGATAGACAATGCATCGAAACGTCGTCCGAAGTTATAAAATATATAAATAAGTTAACCAACGCGTTAAACGTTAAAGGGTTTTATCTAAATGTGTACTACTCGTGTAAACTATAGACAGTAGTTTATATATGTTACGTGATTAAGGCATACCAATAACGTTAATTTGCATGGTATTTTTTAGTAGAGAATTTTAAACATTTATCTTCTATTCCAGAAGAACAACCGTTCACCGAATATCCTAAAATCCCGGATCAATTTATCACTTTTCTCAAAACGTATTATTCCTAAAATGTATACTATACCAACATACAACATAGGGTTTACTTGATGATGTGACATAGTAATAGTTTTTATTTGTTACTTCGTTTAAAGATCGATTTTCGATTTCAAATTCAGTGAAGTTTTCCAAATATCCAAAACCAAAATAGAGCCGACAGCACATCTTGCTTTTAAATACATCTTTATAAAATGGTAATTCAGTGATTAAATTGCGCGAATAATCTTAATTATCTATAAATTTTCACGGAATACGTTCGTAGTCAGTTGCGGTAGGACAAAAAACCCATTAAGTCACTCGCTCATGATTCATTAAGAAGTGGTAATACCAACATTTTACCATCTTGCATTATAATATTAACAGTTAACAGTGAAAGTCATGAATAAATAAATAGGAACCCTTTATTACATATCTTTATTGTTCAAATTATAATATGTGCTACTTAAAATATATTATAGCATTCGCTATACGGAGGACAGTCATGATTGGGGAACGCTTAATGAAATGTAAAATGGCCAAGCTCTATATCATCTAATGAAATGAACTGTCGACCTAATAAACTGTGTATAAACTATAGAATACTACTAATAAATAATCTATACTAATAAAGCAGAAGATTTGTTTGTTTGTTTAAACGCGCTAATCTCAGAAACTATAGGTTCGAATTGATTTTTATTATTTTTGAGTTGGTTAAAGCTTTTATCGGAAGGATATACGCTATAAAACATCGCGCTGTGACTAATAGAAGCGAAGATACAGCGGGAAATGTATACAAAACGGTGGAAATTCTTTATCTCTGGGGGTCTCTGATGCGTACTCTGCGAAAAAGGTTCAAAACACCCATATAAATATTCTGAGTAGAAACATTTCTCTTTAAATGATCTAAAAGAAATATGCGCGACATTATATGTCTATCTCTTAATATTAACTTGTAAAAAGTAAGAATGACGGGACCCGAACGACGGGACGCGACCGATGTCGTGGGCCACTTTTTTTTTTTGAAGTGGGGGGGTTTTTTAAAAAAAAATTGTTTCCCCCAAAAACCCTTTCCCCCCCCCGGGGGGGGCGCCCCCCCCCCGGTGGAGAGAAAAAAAAACCCCCCCCCCCAAAAAAAAACCCCCCTTTTTTTTTTTTTTTTTTTTTTTTTAAATTTTTTTAAATTTTTTTTTTTTTTTTTTTAAAAAAAAATTATATAAAAAATTTTCCCTTTTTTTTTTTTTTTTTTTTTTTTTTTTTTTTTTGGGGGGGGGGGGGGGGGTTTTTTTTTTTTTTTTTTTTTTTTTTTTTTTTTTTTTTTTTTTTCTCCCCCCCCCTTTTTTTTTTTTTTTCCCTTCCTTTTTTTTTTTTTTTCCCCCCCCCCCCCCCCCCCCCCAAAAATCCCCCCTTTTTTTTTTTTTTTTTTTTTTTTTTCCCCCCCCCCCCCCCCCCCCCCCCCACAGAGGAAAACAAGAAGTAATCAATGCGTACTATATTGTAGACTCATATGTAACTACACACACCTACCAACGGAACACACTCCATTACGGGTAATTAGATTAGAATTGAGTTTATGCAACATCACTTAGTTAATGGGAGAGATACGGAACCACCGCTCTAAAAGAAACTAATGTAACGAACTTAAAAATAAATGTAATCAGATTCGTTTAATTCATTACTGATAAACTAGGCCGCGGTTTTTTATATCCAACCGCTTTGATGTTATGAAATATTCATTCAACATAATTATTTTAGACTTCATTCATACCTCTGTTTCTGTCATACGTACATATTTTTCATTAAAATAAAACACATTAACGGTTTAAACGGCGAAATATATTAGTTAAATATATTTTAACTACGGCCCGACGTTTCGGATGCTTTGCAAAAAAACAAGTTCAACCAATATATTTCGCCTTTTAAACCGTTAAAGTGTTTTCTTGTATACTATATAAACTACAGACAGTATTTTGTATATATTACATTGTGTTAAGATCAAACTACCTTATAAAGGTAGGTTTGTTTTTCAAGTTTTCAATCTGTAGTTAAAATATATTTTAAAGTGAAAGAAATAAATAAAGAAAATTACTAACTCAAAAAATAACAGAATAAGGATATATTTCTGTGTCCACTGTTTGTTTCATATGAAACCCACATTTGCAATGCATAAGTTATACGTAATCGTTACTAGGCCAAGGATGCGGTCAGAAGGTGTTTGTAGTACGGTAAAGGATTAATTGAAGACCCACTACGCCAGAAGTTTTTTGATAGTTTTTTTATTACAATTAATAGTTTTTTCAAGTTTGCCAAAAGTAAAGCGTTGCGTTTGTGTTGCCTGTTCTTACATAGTTAAAACCTAATGACCGTCTACTGGACATATGTTAATCATATCTATAGTACGAGAGAGGGTTTAAATGAGTAAGCACAACGGCTTTGTGGCTCTTGAGGCACCGGGGTAAAGACACTTCAAGGGTTGGCAGTAGAAATTTTAGAAAACCCAATTAGACCAGAACAAACTCGGTGTCTCCGAGTGGCGAAACGTGACAAAGGATGGATGGAAGTGGCGTTCTCTTGTTCTGGAGGCCAAGACCCACTAGGTCTCAGAACCCTGAACTGCATTATAGTCTTATAGAGCACTGAACTGATAAATAAACCAAATGTTTAAAACCCTTGCAGTTTATACCAACAACGCTTATAGCGACAAAAAACTACGATAGAAATGTGAACGGTTACACGCGAAGCAAGTTTTCAAAGGGCTCAAATCGCTCCATATAAATAGCGGCCCCGTCCATAAATTTTACTTCACAAACATGATACATACAAACACGACAATATCACATGCATATTAGTAAACATTACTTATATAATAGGTGTTTGTTGTTAGCAACGGGTATTCAGACATTACTTAATCACTATCTATTAACTATAAAAGTTATTAATAGAGATTAAGTAATTATCAAATACAAATCTATATTTTCAACTAGCTCTCCTGGAAAGTTGACTTTTGGAAGCATGGTTGTTGCAATTGAAGTTTCCATTTAAATAAACTACTTTTAACGTTGGATCGTAGTTACAATAAATAACGAGATAAGTTACCATATATATCGCGTTTTAAACCGTTAAAAGTGCTTTATTTAAATTTACTACTTGCGAAAACTGCGCTATACAAATTTATTATTTTTTTACAGACCAACAGAGTTAAAAGCATTTAAAAACACTTTAACGGTTTAAAACGCGATATATACGGACAAAATATTTTTTCAATAAGTTTAACCAATATGTATCGCGTTTTAAACTGTTAAAGTATTTTATTGAAATGTGTAGAATTTGCCTAAACTACATACAATATTACTTTAGCATTAAGTACCTATTATTTATAGAAACAGAGCTTACAGAAGTAAAAGTGACAAGTGGTTTACCTTCATAGCAATCTCTGACTGTGAAGAAGTAGACGTAGTATGAATCGCCCATGAAGAACAGCAGCGAGATCCAGCTGTAGCAGCCGTATATCGGCACAATGAACAATATACGCACAATCCATCGCTGCTCCGACGGATTTGTATACCAGCGCAAGTGTTGATATATCTGCAATTTAAGAAATACGGGTTGTATGGTAGATCTTATGGCAGAACTTATTGTTTGTCCGGGTCCTGAAGCGGGTTAAAGATTTTTACCCATTACATCTCCATTGCCTAGCCTATTTTTAACCTAATATTATAAAGTTGAAGAGTTTATTTGTTTGAACGCGCTCATCTCAGGAACAGTCGGTTTGAATTGAATTTTTGGATTGGATAGACAATTTATCTAAGAAGGCTTAGGAAATAGGAGCAAAGGAATATCTTTAGAATCTTTGAGAACTCTCGTTGCGTGCGCTGGAAAAACGGTTTTTAAAAAAAAATATGTACGATGGAATGATTCCCCCTTCTAAAAAAAAATTTTAAATTAACTTGCGAGAACGAGGGGCGCGGTCGACGCCGTGAGTAAGAGTACATAGTATATAAAGCTGAGGAGGTAGTTCGAAAAAATAAATTTTGATGCCTAAAATAATATCGAATAAAACCGTACTAGAAACACCGAGATTGAAACTTAAATCACGGGATTGTTACGTGCCTAACCTGCCATTAAACGTGAGAAGCGTACTTTTTGCACGTAAATTCCTTATAAAACAGAGTAGTCTTAAGATACTAAGAAAAGGGGGTCTATGAACTTTGATATAGGCATAACATGTTATATATATACTGTTTATTATAAAAAAAATTAAACTGCATTAATCAATAAATTAATAGCGAGATATTATTGCAGAACATATAGAACTTAAGTGCCATAGTCTGGAAAATAGCTTATAATATAAAGCTAAAACTATTTAGTTTCATAAATCTAAAGTCGAGTTACATCACTTCCCCTATGTGTAACCAATAATAATTTTATGGTGTTGTAATGTAATCTTGCGCATGTAGATCGCCCTTATTTCATAATCAATAGATATACCTAACCCTTATACCTAATTTAACAAAAACAGAATGTCATTTTAAATTTAAATACCTATTGTTACCAATAAATATTATACCAAGATTTGAGCCAAAGTTATTTCCTAATAACCTTCGTATATAAAATAGTGTCGAATCTTTAGTTACGAAATGAACATAAGTTATCGTGATCTAGTAATCCTTATGAATTCACTATTTTTGTAAAAATCTTCATAAACTAACGGCCGTTGAATTTGTACGTACGATTTGTTAATTCTCTCTCCATATCAACACTTGTCTAGCTCTAGGCCATAGATTATAATCACTCCAATTTGAAGTGTCGCGATCGTCTAGACTCTAGACGCTATACATATACATATTATGTATTAAGCGTTAAGGGTACAATACTTTTATATTTATTGGATGTTTATTTATGATAGAGTACAGACAAGCGTGGGGTTCACACTTGATGGTAGGTGAGATTCGCCAGCCTGACATCTAAACAAGATGCGCTCTCTATTTATTTTGGCTTTGGATATTCGGAAATCCACAGACTAGAGCCGAAGAGATTAAACTTCACGGCTTTTCATCAGTGGACGGCGGTTCGTGACCTAGACGAAATTTCGATATTCCTACCATTCATTGAATATAATAATTGGATGTAAAAGACTCGACTATTAAAAAGTTTTTTCTATTAAAAAGGGTGCTATTTGCTATTCCTCCATTTAAGTATTTCTTTCTTCTAGTTAGCAGGCTAAAAACTTTAAAAACTATTATCTTTTGAATAAAATATATGCTATGTAACTTAAAACTCTGCTAAATACATTCGAGAGTTTTAGTGCAACCTTGATAAGTGGCAGTTTTAAACTTGCTCGTGTCCTATTAAGAAATCAATAAAACTGAATGTAGTATGTTCTAGACTGGTGACGTACATATGTGGACGGAAATCTTTACTTTTAAGTCCTAGTACTTGTGCAAATAACTCATTAATTATGGTCCCTACCAGACTTTGATATGAACGTGTTGAAATATACAAGTAACAGAAATTACAAGTATTAACAAATATTTGCAATAATAATTATAATTAAATACTGTCTATAGTTTACGCGAGTAGTACACATTTAAATAAAACACTTTAACGGTTTAAAACTAATATATCGCGTTTTAAACCGTTAAAGTGTTTTATTTAAACTATAATTAAATTTACAATACTCGTCCAAAATGGTTTGACCGGTTTTCATGAAATTTTATATGCATATTTAGTAGGGCTATCTACGTTTCGTACCCTTATTTGATTAAAATTGTCTCTATATAAGAATTATATATTATATGATACAAATAAATACTTTAATGATAACACATCTTTTTAATTTAATTTTGTTATTTTTATGTTCCTACAGAGCTCCCATATATTAGTTTAATTTTGTCCTTGTAAACACGAGAAATTCCTGGAAAAACAACTTTTGCTAGGTCAGCCAGTATGACGTACTTGGCTATTTTTGCTGAACTTATAAATGACTATTTTTCAATGTTTAGGAAAGCATATTTTTCCAAGAAAACAGTTGCTATCGTCAATAAAGGTGCAGCTAGTAATATGAGAAGCTTGAGATAAATGGAGCATAACCAGTTACAAGACTAATAGAAGCGTTACACGAGTGAGTCTATAAAGCACTTTTCAGACTATTCTTACAAATATATTGCAGGACATATACATAAATAAATAAACCGCGAAGCTTGTGACGCTATGTGAATGACGAATGATTGTTACTCATTTACACTACAACGACTTGACCATTTACAAAAAAAATATCTAAATGTAATTTTGATATAATACATCCATGTGGTAATGATTTTTTTTGGCCAGCTAAAATTATGTGTTCTCTGGACAGTGTGTAATATGATTGGGCTATTAATATTTAATACAACTGCATTAGGTGTAGTCTGAAAAGGGCTTTACTCTTGCACACATTCACCCTAATGAAATATACTACAAGTTTAATGACTTCTATTGTATCTTGGAGAAATATAATTCTGTTCATTTTAATTAACTACTGCATATTATGTAATTTGCTTGCTTACTATAATGATATTAATTTAGTAATCTGCCTTCATAGCCCATATTAGCTATTATTATATCAGATGAGGCCAGGAAATATGTTAAATTAATAACCCTATAAAATATTATGAAGATGAGTCATACTCTTATTAGTGTATTACAGGCAGAAAAGATATAATTAGTACTGCAGCCTTTTTATGACGAAGAGGATGGACAAGCATGAGGTTGATTTGAAGGAAGGTGGAATTATTCAGCCATATAATGTCTTAAAAAAGCCCTAGTTTAGTCAAGGTACACTCTACATCTCTATTAAATATAAAAGCTAATTTTAAATAAATAGTTTATATTATTTCTTAAGATTTAGCTAAGGAACATCTATCTTAGTTGACACGATTCACAAAATGATTCAATTAAATAGAATCAACAAGATCAGCACTGACTTACGACAACTTAATTAATTCAGTTAGTCAATGCAACAGTACTGAAAACGGTTATATTAGATTCTTATGCTATTTCGACCCTATTATGAATATTTTTAACTGATATAGGTTCTTAAATTCAAAGAAGGAGTTATGTTTAATGTCAGTTCAGTATAACTATTTAACACCTAATACAATTGTTTTATTATATGCTCATTACAAAATCAGAGTAATTCACTACTTTGATTAATAATTATTATAATGCTGATAAAAAAATTATGATTAAAGAGATATTTGATATGAAGTCTTACTTGTTGGCAAGTTATAAAGAGGGCAGTCCAAACAAAAATGCCTGAGACAACTTGTGCAGTAGTTGTTTGTAGAAAGATGGAGTTAGATGTGTTGTGGACTGGCTCAGACATAGGCTGAGCCGTGACATTGATGACCTCTTCTGCCATCCTGCAAAACGGTTTTAGTAAGTATATCTATTTATGGAATGACCACCTAATCATAACAAACACACAATAAAATACTCCTACATAATAAATATGATTAAAATAGAGTCTAAAGAATAGAAATAGGAAGTGTTGGTCTCTAAAATAATTGAATAAACAATTGTTTCAACAATGAATCAAAGAACATCTGAACAAATAGCTATAAATTTTAGGTAAAAAAACACAATGAAACATTTATATAAGCAAAAACAATTAAATCAAATTTAAAATCTTGTTTTTGAAGGATTTTCTTATACAGTCTCACTAATCTTGCCAAGTGAGGTAAAATGGTGTCGTAAATCCTTTCCTATTTAGTATAAATAATAAAATGAAAGAAGTCTTAATTTCGAGGTCAATCTTTTGACACATTTTCATACTTGAAGATGGGCAAAATGTGCATTTTTATATGTTCGTACGAAAACTACCTTGGAAATGTAGCCCTACGTTGTATTTTTCTTTTGTTTCGTCAGTAATCAACACTGCACATATTGTAGCAGCTGCTTCATGTAAGATCTCATTGATTTTCCTCACAATAACTATGTCACAACTAAACAAAAACAATCACAATCAGATAGTTAAACTTTGACACTGCACTGGGTTTGTAAACATAAAACTACGAAGAACTTATAAAATCCAATACGTAGTTTTAGGATACGACAAATTAAAATAATTGGGATTAGTTGATTCTAGTTCCTATTTTCTCTTCGTGACAGACAAACAGGAGTGGATAAAATAACCACAGATTCACAAAACACAATTATTTTCTACAGACTTTTAACTTCTCTTTGAAAATGCAATTACAAAAATGTTATTTAGCATTATTCCTATTTTACAAGTAGCATTTTTTCTTCAAATTTTATTTTCAATATATTTCTTAAATTGTCACGCTTACAACTATAGTGATAATAATATAAAATGGCAAGAAGTCTATGACAATTGATAGTTTAGAGAGAATGACATTCTTCGTTCAATTCGTTTCTGTCATTTACTATTGATCATAGACAATTAACAAACTCAAAAATGTCCGCCGTTGTCGTATAAGATAATATACGTTTGTATTTTAGTATTTCTCATTGTGTAACAAATGTGTCGAGGAATATGAAATCCTTTTGATGATAATTCACATGATTACATTATAGGAATAATAATTATTTACCAAAATGATTGTTCAAGAACCGTTACAGGTAAGGACTATTAGAATATTTTTTATGTGTCCCTTTCATGACAGTTAAAAAATAATCTATTATTTTGCCACCTTAGGTTATTGTATGGGACTGCCTTAATAATTATGAATATGAAAATGCCGTGTTTCTGGCCGAAAGACTACACGCTGAGAGTAAGTAATAATGACGAATCTTTTCCATGGACTTAAAATTACATAGTTAGTAATATCTTTGTGTCGTTATTGAAAACTTATTAACATTTCAGTTGCATCAGAAGAGACTGCATTTTTACTGGGTACCTGCTATTATAGAGCTGGTAGAGTTAATGAAACTCATCACCTACTACAAAACCTTTCATTGACTTTACCCCAAGCTAGGTTTCTTTTAGCCAAATGCTCTATAGATCTCAAATCGTAAGTGTCAATAAATGGAGAAAATTTAATACTTTCAATCATTCTAGTACCTCAATGCTTATCTTATTTTTCAGATATAAAGATGCTGAAATTGCACTTGGGACTAATTTAGATATTGTTATTTCTGAATTTGGGGAACAAGCACCATATGCATTGCAACTGCTTGCCAAAATTTATAGCATCACTGAGAGAAAAAGCAAAGCGGCAGAGGCACATAGGAAAGCTTTATCTCTAAATCCATTCATGTGGAAATCTTTTACCCAATTGTGTAATATGGGAGAGAAAATTGAACCAAGCCAAGTATTCCATGTTAGTCCTGAATTCTCTTTTGGTGTTTCTACTCTTGTGAATCTAGTCAACAATTCAGAAAATATATCAGTAACTACACCATTCATTCCTAATAATAGTATTAATAACACTGTTACACCAAACAATGTTCCAACTCGTACTCCTATGAACATGTCCACTAGTATTACACCAGATTCTCAAATGACTGTAAAAAGGATGCACAGTGTCTTTAGTGGAGTGGCACCAATACCATTCTCACCATCTTTTGGAATGTTACCAATGGAAGAATCTCCTGTAATGTATACACCTACACTAACTGATTCCAATGAACAGAAGGCTATACCAAAAATAGTTAATTCATTAAGAGCACATGTTGGTCAACTTAAGGATGCAGTATTTAGCCCGAGTGCACCAAGATGCACATTAGGACCAGCACCTCGTAGATCTTCAAGACTCTTTAGTACAAATAACAGCAGTTATTCAGTAAAAGAAAACAATAAATCACCAAGTCGGAAATTTGTGGCACCCAAAAGCCCTTCAAGAAAAAATAAACAACGTACAGCCAAAAATGTTAAATCAAATACAGAGACAAATGAGAGAACCAAGTCTTCAGAAGCATCTACTCCTATGACACCAAAGAATTCCAATGTTGTAACTATGTTAATGTTGTTAAAAGAACTTGGAGAAGCATATAAGTCCTTAGCATTTCTTGATTGCAAAAATGCTATAAAACAATTCCAGGATGTGTCTCAGAAACAGGCATCATCTCCTTGGGTGCTAACAATGATTGCGAGAGCCCATTATGAATTAGCTCAGTATGAACCTGCTGTGAAAATTTTTGATGATATCAGAAAACACTATCGTTGTAGAACTGAAGGAATGGACATTTTCAGTACGTGTTTATGGCATTTGCAGAAAGAGTCTCAACTATCAGCATTAGCTCAAGAACTTGTCGAGTTAGATAGGAACAATGCTATATCTTGGCTAGTAGCTGGTAATTGTTTTTCTTTACACAAAGAGAGAGAAACTGCACTTAAATTTTTTAAAAGAGCTGTGCAAATAAATCCTGACGCTGCTTATGCCCATGCCTTATTAGGTCTTGAGTATTCAGTTGCAGAAGAAACAGATAAAGCCCTTTCAAGTTTTAGGACAGCTGTCAGTATCGATCCTCGTAATTATGTGGCATGGTTTGGCATTGCAACAGTATATGCTAGACAAGAACGTTGGAAAGCGTCTGAGGTACATATAAGACGTGCACTCGCCATCCATCCATACTCTGGTGTGTTACGTTGTCAGTTGGGTATCGCACAAGCTTCATTGGGCAAAATGGATAGAGCTCTTGCGACTCTCGAAAGAGCTGTTGCCTTAGACACTGACAATCCACTGTGCAGATTCCACAGAGCCTCTGTATTATTACGTGCGGGTAGACCACAAGATGCCTTAATAGATCTTCAACATTTAAAAGATATTGCACCTAGGGAGTCATCCGTTTACTATCTGCTTGGAAAGGTACATGATAAGTTAGGTAATTCACATTTATCCCTCATGCACTTTTGCTGGGCATCAAATTTGGATCCGAAAAGTATCAGTGGTAGTGGGCATATAAAAGAAGGGTTTGATCCATCAAAACAAGAAGACAGTTCAGAACGAACTTAATTAGACACAAAAGTGTATATGTTTAACTCAGACCGTAACTGAATATTTAGCAAGCAGTCTCTCGGTACTGTTATATTTTGACTTGAAAACCTAACTATTGTCATGTAGATCATTGAGAAGAATATATAAATAAAGAGTAAAACTTCAAGAATGTGCATCAACACTGGATACACAAGGTCTATGAGAGTTTGACTGAATTTTGTACATAGGCTTGCTACATATCAATCTCCCTCCTTACCAGTTCCAATTTTGTTGTGAGATTGGTTTGATGCAGCGTAACAGTAGTAAATTGTATTTGTTTATATAGAGTAAGCTGTGGATATGTTATCGTAGATACCTGTATAGCAAATAAAATGTGAAAATTATAATTATAATGATATGCTTGTAGACAACACACAGGGCCTTGATCTCAATGTTGTGTTTTAATGTGTATGTATTATAAAACATTGGATGTGTAGTAATTTGTTTAATTGGTATATTATTTGTCGATGTTTTACAAAAATTGAGAACTTATCAATTGACAATAACCGCAGGCGGTTTCCATGTATAAAATCAAATTTAACTATGTATTCGGCGTTCTATGCTGCAGTTTTATTTAGTAATGAGAAATAGATCACATCACATAATCAATGTTCAACTATTAAAATCTTAAATAATTTTGTTATGTACATATTCAAGTAGATACTAATAGTATGTGTGAAATAATATAGCACCATTTATCTTTTACTTCACCACTCAACTACTATTGTGTGAATAAATCTCTAGACCTCATAATAATTATTTACCTATGTATAAACTGATAAAATCATATATCTGTATGAAGTTTTATTTTAATCAACATATTGTATCTAATATTATTGTTTATACTGTTTGCAGAGTTAAAGATATTTTTTTGCCATGTTTGTTGAAAACGTTATTACTTTTAAATGATTGCTGACAGCTATTCTAATTTTTTTTTAGATTTCGGAAGGCTTAGGATTCGAACCCACATCCTAACTTATGTACTAACTAGCTAGCTGTATATATCATTATTAATCGTTCAATCAATATTAAATCATTTTTCTTATGTAATGTTAAACAATGACACAATTCGTACAAATAATTTTGATTGTCAATTGATTTATTGTACATTACTGCAGGCCGAGAGTACGCAAGGACGAACTTGAAATGTATTAAAGTAATAATTTAGAATGTTGAAACCAATACGAAGTAGTCGAACAACCTAATAACATTTTTTTTTCACTAAACAGTTGTTTACGCCAACCTCTTTAGTAGCCATGTTCCGGAGTAGAAGATCGTTTTAATTACACGACGAATATGATTTTACATAGTAATTTATTTTGCCGCTAAATACGACAGATATTGATTTCATACAACAAACTGCCAGCCGCTGCTCCATCGTACAGTAAGTTCGAATTATCTCAAATCTTGTTAAGCTAAAATTTCCAAGCATTTTTTGAAAAAAAAAAAATTTTGAGAATTATTGTAATAATTTTGATTGTTCACTTATATTAGGACAAGAAAAAAACAGGGTTTCTTACTTATACGTAACTTCACTTTATATTCTTAAGATATTTATTTAAAATTATCACTTGATATTAAGAGAATTTTTGTAATATAGAGTCCAATGCTTTTCTTACAGTAGGGTCATTTAGTAGTTTATTTTTCTCCTGCTTCGGTGGAGTTGGTGCAACAGGTGGAGCCTGTTCTTTTTTATCATTCAGGATACTTAAGATTCTTTGCTGTAAGTCTACTTGTGTCTTGTTGGTTGTTCCAGCTGGAGTTATAGGCTCGCCTAGTTCTATTTTAACCTGTTGAGCTCTCTTTTCCTAAAATAATGTAAATTTGATTAAAGCTTCAAAACTATACATTTAGTGCACATAGAAGCTTATTAATAAAATGACATGGCGTGATATAAAATATCTAATGAAATACTGTCTGTAGTTTACACAAGTAGCATACATTTAAATAACACACTTTACCGGTTTAAAACGTGATATATATTAAATTCATTTGATAATTATTTTTAACTACGGCCCGACGTTTCGATGCTTTGCCTCCCCGTGACCACGGCTGCTGCAAAGCATCCAAAACGTCGGACAGTCGTTAAAAAGAATTTTCAAACAAGTTTAACTTATATATACATTTTAAACCGTTAAATGGTTAAATGTGCTATGAAAATAAAATCATCTACCATTTTACTTTTATCAGACTTTTAGTCAAAAGTAAAAAGAAGATTTAATCTCACCTGTAAATATTCTAAAACTTTATCATACTGCATAACAGTTAATGTCCTGCCATCGGCCAGTTGCCCTAACAAAGCATATACCGCTTCTCTACCAGATGGCCCGCCGCGCTGCACTTCTTGGAAGTTCCGGGAGATCAGCTGTAATGCGTCTTCTAGGGGCATGTTTCGGTGCTCTGAAATCATATTCTGGATCTAAGTACGTACAACGAAATAAATTTAAAATCTAGTTAGATTGAAATTTTTAAGGTCACGGACGGGTCCACAGTGATCGGTCTTGCGGCTTTAACCAATTGAGACATTGTATATCGCACCGGATCAACGAATTCATCATGATCATCAGTTAGGGGTAACTGATACATCTCGCGCAATGTAATTTGAACCTTACTTATGTATAGGCATTTTTTAAATCTTAATCGATTTTTAATTTACGTAAATACACTGTAACAAACACTAAATGTACTGTGGCAAACACTGTAATATAATGTGTTTTAAACTTTACCTTGTGGTAAGCCGTGTAATATGGTCAGTGTAAGTGATCTATGTTCCTGGTTCTGTGGCATAACGAGAATAGCGTACAGACAACCACGTGATGCAATATTTCCTAAGACCTTGCCTATAGGCACATCTTCCATAGGAAATAGCAGGTCAACAACTATGCCTAATCGCTTTAACCGACCCTCTATATATTCTGCATATTCTCTGGAAAGATAAATTAAGTTTAGCATTTACGGTTGACTACAACTGAACTGAGAAAATTTAAAAAAAGCCTGTGTGTTGTACTTCGTTTTTTGTACACATTCTATAAGTCCTTACAAGTTTAAGTTAGCAAGTGTTGAATCATAAAGTCACATCACATCTTACACTCCAATGTGGATGTTGTGTCAGGTCTTGGTGTCAAAACACAAACATATAGATAAAATGTATCAGGGATCAGTCAGCAGACAACAATGTTTCTGGCCAATGCTAACTCCGTCCTTTCCAGGAACTTTACTTACGTGAGTATTTTGGAAACTACTATAATTTCACAGTCATTTCGTTCTGGCACTGGCAGAGCTCGAGGGTAGTCCGGATAGCGGTCAAATCTTTCTCTTTCCGGCCATTCACCTCCACCTGTAATATATTGCTTATGAATTTTGAACTTATGAACAATTGAATCATGCAAAAAAATAAAAGCAAAAGTATATGGAAATAGTACTTATAGGTTCATTATAAGTTAGTGAGAATACATAAATTAGCATACATATATAGCGAACTCTCAAGTGTTAATCTTGGTAAGAATTAAGTATATATTTCATGTTCTTTAAGACTAGTGAGAGTACTAGAGAATTTATCTGGCAAAGCCATGTATAAACATGTTTGCTGTCTGTGTATAGTGATTATTATTTTTATTATTACCTCGTACAGGAGATCTGTCACGAAACGCTGGAGCGCCTCGACCCCGACCACGACCACGCAGTGCACCACGCCCGCGACCGCCGCGTATGGGTGGGTCTCTATTATCATTCCAGCCTTTATTGTAACTATCATCAGGTTCCTCCTCTTCTGAACAAAATAATATTTTATATTACTTCCACTAATGAGTATTTTTATAATGCTGAACTCGGTTTTTAATTTATATATGATATACATAAACACAGTTTCATTAACTTTTGTCAGTTCACTAACTTTTGTCACCTATATAGTTGCCAAAATTGTCATACAGATCATCCTGGCTATCATCAATTTCAGGTGGTACTTTATTATCAATATGAGGAACAGCTGTCGGAATTTCTGGGTTTATTGAGACCACATCAGACTCAGGCTTTTTTCTGAAAAATAAAAAGAGCATAAAATTAGATGGAACATTGTCTGATAAGACGTTTTTTAAATAGAAAAAATCCATAGTAGTTACATATTATATATATAGAATTTTTTACCTATCGTTTTTTAATACAGATCTGACTGTTAGAGTACGTCCTCGAAACGATGACCCATTTGCCTTCGCAATGGCATCTTGTGCACTCGATTCGTTTCGAAATTGAACAAACCCGAACACTTTATTAATCACGATCCCATCAATAGAGCCGTATGGAATAAAGTGATTGTATACTTCTTCAACTGAAGTATCATCTTCCATCAACCCTCCAACATATATGCGAAGGTGAGCTGTAGCTATGTTTTTCATGGCAGCACGATCTAAAGTTAGTTTGTCTAAAACGAATACATTATATATTAAAGATCATTTACAAAGTATAAGAAAGCAGGGACAAAAATATGGAATATTTACTTACCAGCCATTGTTGCAATTATCTCTGCACTTCTATAACCAAATACTTGTCATTAATTACTTAATTCACTCTTCGGTCATACTGAAATATTTACTAATTTAAAAATGTATTATAATTGAAGAAAAACATTGGTACCTATTACCTATTCTTGTTTAAACGCGGCTTGTAAGTGCAGAATGACAGATAATAGATTGAAAAGATATAAACAACTTAAATTACAGATGTAGTGCGACTTAGTGTTACATCCACAATAGTAATAAAGAAACTGTGATAGGCCATCAAAGATGATTTTATCTGTAGTTATATCTTATTGGCCAGTATTCTGCCAGCATAATTTTGAGGTTAGGAGTAAAGTACCTAGAGTGGCTGCATTTGTTTGAAATGTAAGTTTTACATTTTAAATATGAGATTAATATTTTTCATCATCAAGGGAACTTAGTATATGTTGGGAAATGTTTCAAGGTCTTATTTTTAATAAATAATATTAGCATTCATTTGGTTTAAAGAAAGTAGCAGGTAAAGATGTTTTAATTAATTACATACGTAAATAATATATTGTAAGTGTATTTTTCTATTTTCAGCGCATACATAGTAGATATTCTTTTATGTATATAATACGTATTACAAACATGCATTTAAAGTTTAATTATAAAATCTTAAAATAAGCGACCTTGGACAAGGTGTGGTGTGATAAAGTTTATCTTATGTAAATAGCGCTTGGGTTTGAAATAAAAATAAAATATATTTAAATAAAACACTTTAACGGTTTAAAACGCGATATATTAGTTAAACTTATTTGAAAATGATTTTTAAACCGTTAAAGTGTACCCAAAAAATTTTAAAGGTTTTCCATACTATGACACTCAGAAGACTATTTAATAAAGGCTATAAGACATATCAATCAGCAGCCAAAAGAGCATTCAATCGCAAGAACTTATTCTACACAAATGTTTTATTATCAATAGGATTATCTACGACAGGAGATTTTTTAGAACAAAACTTTGAACTGTATGTTAAAGAAATTGATAAATATGATTACGGTCGTACAACACAAATGGCCTTATCTGGCATGACAACTGGTATTATATGCCACAATTGGTACATTTTCCTAGACAAAATTATTATAGGACGTACTTTTGATATGGTTATAAAGAAACTCCTTTTAGACCAGTTTATCTGTTCCCCAATTGTGATTATGTCATTTTTTGCCACTGTTGCAATTTTTGAAGAGCAACCCTTAGAAAATTTCACAGACGAAGTAAAAGATAAGTTCTGGATTCTTTACAAAGCAGAGTGGTATGTGTGGCCACCAGCACAGATAATAAACTTCTACTTTTTACCAACTAAGTATAGAGTGCTATATGATAATACTATATCTTTGGGCTATGATGTTTATACATCGCATATTAAACATTACAAAACACAGAAACATAAAGAGGAAAACAATAATGAAACAACTAAATGGTAAATTAAATAATGTGCTGAGAATTCTTGTAAAAATTTAATTCCATCTTAATAAAATTTTTGTATGCATCTTTTGTGTTTATATTTTAGATAAATAGTTTCTCTTGTTTCAGACGTTGCATATAATGCAATCAATAAAAGTCACATGGAGAAAGCTAGCTACAAATGTACGGTCTTCTAGATCATTCGCAAGACTAAGGGAAATAGGGAAAACTGCGTTTAGCAACAAATATTTATTGTACACTAATGTAACTATATCAGTGAGCTTATCAGCTTTAGGTGACTTAATGGAACAAACTTATGAAGTGTATACAAAGGACATGGATAAATATGATTTCAAACGGACTATGCATATGGGTTTTTCTGGTGCTGCAGTAGGTGTACTTTGTCATCACTGGTATAAGGTGCTTGATAAATTTATTATAGGAAAGTCAACTGACATGGTGATAAAGAAACTAGTCTTAGACCAATTAATTTTTTCACCAATAATGATTGTAACATTCTTTGGTAGTTTAGCCTTATTGGAAGAGGACCCTGTAGGCAATTTTAAGGAGGAGGTAGCACAAAAGTTTGTTACATTATATAAAGCTGAGTGGATGGTCTGGCCTCCGGCACAAATTATCAATTTTTACTTTTTACCAACTAGATTTAGAGTTTTATACGACAACACGATATCACTAGGCTATGATGTGTATACATCTCAAGTAAAGCACAATAAAAATAATCTTCGAACTACAAGCGATCGTAAATCATCTTGACGATGATCACTTATTAGGTCTTTTATGATAATTGTAATTAGATTAAGGTACATATGTACTTAGTTTTGTTCACCCGTCTTATTTGAAACAATGATTCGCCATTACGACAGCTCAACAGTTGAAAAACTCAGGTATCTTTGTAAAGCGCGAAAGACTCATTATTTGTATTTACATTCTTGAATGATATTGTCAATTATAGTTACTAATAGCAAATAATTATTTTATTAGTTAAATGCTAGTGTAAATATAATGTAAGGGAAAGCAGAGCTGTGATTATGTACACTTAAAATTATTCTTAATGATATATAACTTATTGTTTTGTTAAATGTCCATAATAATTGTTACCGTAAATAAGAAATAAAGAAGTATATATAGTTGACTGAGTAATGTATTTTATTTATAAATCGTCTAGTTTAATAAAATAATGTACCTAATTACTAAGATTTATTTGGAGAAATTGTAATATTAATATTTAGATACACTGTTAGTATTTAATTAGGTGTTAAAAAATTTTCGTCGCTTTGAGAATTTCTCAAACTGTTTCTCACGTTTTGTAAGACGCTACGTACAATTGAGTCCTCGTACATATTATCTCGCCACATCTCTGAGTGGCGATTCAATGATGTTTCCTCTAAAGTTGGCATTCGACTCGTTCTAGGCGTTCCGAAATGCGATCTGCACGCAGATTTTCGTTTGAGACCCAATAGAGATGTGAGAAGTTTGTCCAGGGAAGCGATGTCGGTAGCATTTGTTTCTTGGTTAACATTTGGGGACATTCCGTTAGATATTACGCTTGAGCGTATTGATGAAGGGGTTCTGGCTTGTAAGCCTATTGTACGGAAAACCTGTGAACAATATTTAGATATGACAAATCATTTTACATCTGTGGCACTGACTTTTGAATATAAACATATTAAATAATATATGTAGTTTACGCGAGTAGTACACATCTAAAACAAACACTGCAACGGTTTAAAACGCGATGTATATTAGTTAAACTTATTAGAAAATTATTTTTAATTAGGTACGGCCCGACATTTTGGAAGCTTTGTAGCAGCCGTGGTTTTATCTGTGAAATATCGTGTTTAAAACCGTAAGTTTTTTATTTAAATTTATACGTATTATTATTTTAAAAATCGTATCGCGAATACCATTCCACTAAATATTCGGACCGGGACCGGAGGAGGAGGTCAATAGATTCGTTGCGTTACGCGTTACGGAGCCAGTCTGTTTGCAATTGCAAAATCTATCGGACACTTAAAACTATATTATTTTTTGGTGGCAGTTCGAGCTCTAGTGATCATTTAGACATAAACAAAAGAGGCGAAACCTCGTCAGCATTGTGGCTTTGGTAACTCATGCGCTTCACTTTCCGATAAGTTTCGTCGTCAAGAGCCTCTTGTACAGCCGCTTCTAATTTCTCTTTCAATTCTGCATCGTCTTTATTTGTGTCTTCCAGAATTAATCTGAAAGTAACAATATACATTTTTAACTTTATTGTCATTGTATATTAAAATAATTTCTAAACATAATATTAATAATAGCACTTATGATAACGACTAGCTGAATCAGCGACTTAAATGAAATAATTTTTCAATTTGAACCAGTAGTTCCCGAGATTAGAGCGTTCAAACAAACAAACTCTTTAGCTTAATATATTAGTATCAAGAATAGTTTCTTACTCTGCTCTCTCATCGTAATCATTAAAATTACTTTTATTTGCTTCTCTAGTTACTTTGATGTCTTGTTCCCAAAATCTTCTCAGATCTGGCGTTGACGTATATGGAGCTGCGACTTCTTTTATTTTTAAGAATATAATAGCTGTTATAAATATACATATAACATTGACGATAGTAAGGCAACAACTAACTATTCCTGCAACAAAATCATTTTGGTTTTAGATTAGGTTAGAATTAAATGTAATAATAACCAATAACTTATTTATATAATATCTTAAATTCTTTTCTTCCCGATACAACGCATAGGTATTAAATAAGGGATATTTTTACCATTAATGGCGAACTCAATTGGCAAATAAGTGTGGTAGAGTGGCTCGTATGTTGAATTGCCCGTGAAGGGCTCGCCTTTTAGGTGGGGTATATTCACGCCAGGATATAAAAGCCATATACAAGCTAATGCCCAGAATAATCCCTGAAAAAGGGACGCTTTCGACATAAACACATAACTTTAAATCATACTTTAAGTTCAATTATGAGAATATAGAAGTCTTACTGAGTTATAAAAATCTCTTCTTTCTAACAAATACGAGAAGTCACATTTGGTTAGAAAGTACTAATTGATTTTATTCTACAAGTTAGGCAAAACCTACGCAATTAACTACTGGCGGAAGTAGAGAAGCAGATATAGCAATGCCTATAAGAGGTCCAGCACTTCCTTGAAGAAGGGCTAAAGCTACCCCAGTTCCAGATGTTAGCGCCCATAACACTCCCATCCACAATGACCTAACGTTACCCCTGAAAGAAAAAAAAATCTGTAAAGTAAAACTGGAAATAGAGTATGATCTCTTTTAAGTAAGCCGTTAGGTAGGGCAAAAGTTAGCCATTCTGATTTTATTTAACAAACACAAAATGTTTGCTACTAGGATCTACCTCGCTTTCATTTCTTCTGTCGGCCAGTCACCATATCCCCACGGCATTTCCGTCGTCCCCAAAATGAGTCCGAAAATAAAACCAAACAACAAAGACACCAGCATGCCCATTATGAGACTTTCAAAGCCGCTCCTAACGAGGCTTCTATCGGCTATGATGGTGCCAAATGTAATTGACATGACCGGACCCATTAACGGAGACACTAACATAGCAGCTACAATATTTGATGCATTATTTTCAACTAGGCCAAGGGCCGCCAGAGAGCTGAAAGAAGAGTGCTCATATTATTAAAACAATATCAAAATTAACGGATCTAAGGTGATGTAAAATATGCTTGTAACACTATACCTACATGAATAAATGATTTATTTATTTTAAAGAGGCTTACCAAACTAAACTATAAACTACATATATAAAGCGGAAGAGTTTGTTTATTTGAAGAAATCCTTTTGTGTTGGTGAGAGGACTTATCTAGGACGGCTGAGACTAATAGAAGATACAGCAGGTAATGTGAAAAAAGCGGAGAAAATGATTCATGTCTGTGGGTTCGTACGCTGCGAAAACGTTTAAGATAGCAAGGAAATGTATGAATGAATGATTCCTTTTTAAATTATCTAAAAAAATGTCCACAGTATATCTATATTTTAAGATTAACTTGAAAGAATGATGGTACCTAAATGAAGTGACATCGTGGGTAGTGAATAGCTTAAATTTACAAAAGATGACGAGGAGGGTAGCAAAATAACTTTTATACGCAGTTGAAGTCGCTGACATACCAAGTTGTAAAATATGTTGGGATGCTTCTAGAATATCACCATCATGTACCTTTTAATAGCGTTCATTAATAGGGATTCGGGTGTTTGACAAATTTTGTTTCCTTTTTGACATGCTGGGTTACTCACGTAAAGAAGTACTACGTGCAATTCGGCTTTCATATAACCTTACCTTCATAATTGTAAACTTTAACCTTTGCAGTTTTCCGGTCAAGGTCGCGATCACTATTGAAAGAAAGTTTACAGGTCTTTCACGAGAACTATCGCGAGTACTATTGAAGTCAAGAATGTTCATTAATCACTTACTCTGCTGTTATTATCAGCGTCAAGTAATCGAATGAAAGTTCACCACCACCTCGGACACCATCTACAACTTGCTTCACTGTTAATTTTGAACGTATTGACTCTACGAATTGCCGCCACCGTCTAGCTTCTTCAGTCTTGATCCTTTAGGAAAATTAATATGACTTATAAATAGTACAATGTATATACTTAAAAATTCCCTTTTTATCGCTTAAACTTGTCTATTATAAAAAAAAATCTTTAAAAGACTTCATAAACTTCATACAGATTGTAAGATTACTTTAGTTCTATATCAAAGAACACAAATGCATTAGAATTCACGTTTATGGAGCGAAAAGTAATTATAGAATTAACATACATCTCTTCATCTGCGCCTCTTCTTTCAAAAGCTGAATGCACGATGTTGCATGGAAGAACGCTAAAAAGTTAAACTTGAAATAGATTTAAGTCGTCACTTATTACTTATGGTTTTGTATTCACTAACCTATAAAATATTTTATAAGCTAGCTCATGAACAGCTACAAGCATGTAAATGAATCTTAATTTTGGCGAATATAATAAATAGCAGAATAGCTTCAGAACGTAAAATTATATTTTTTTACCGTAAATGTAAAGTAGGCATATAAATTATTTGATGTACGATAAAAGTCCCTGTTCTATAACATCGTATGTAGTGCTTTTCATTCATGTGCATTCAGCTGATATTTGTTATAGTGTTGTCTGAAGTTAACACAAATGACACGCGTAATTTACTTATGTTTTAATCGTTAAGAGTATTTTGTTCAATGAGTATCCTAAGATATATCCAAAAATAATGAAGTACCTCACAATTGACCTGTAGCAAACACCTATACCCAACTGTGTAAGACAGTGAAGGGTAGTCTCACATTTATCTCCTGTTGAAACTGGGAACATTACTTCGAAATAATTGCCCGCTTTATCGCTCATCCACACGACATGTTCTATTTCCAGCTTTTTTAGGAGCTCGTGCAAAATCTTGTTATAAAAATGAAAACAATATATACATAAGTAGTAGACAATGTACCAATCTAATGCATAATCATAATTAGTTTAAAAATATTACGCTAAATAAATACATTTAAATAAAAAAAAAATAGTATACGCGAGTAGAACACATTTAAATAAATCTACTTTTAATAGTTTAAAACTCTAAATGTTCGTTATTTTTGTGTGTTATCCCGTGACCACGACAAAATATTCAAAAGGTGGAGCCTTAGTTAAAAGAAGTTGTCTTTTTAAATGAACATAACATACATACATTTTCCATTGTAACTAGACCATCGTTTTCATCAACCTTTTGTAATTTCCGATCGTTATACACATTATAATAACACTGGGTAAGATGTACCGGGATACTTTTCGCTTTTTTATTACGTAACTCCACTTCTAATTTACATCGTTCCATCGGATCTTCTATAGAAACCAGTTCTTTCGGTTTTCCATACTTGAGCATATATTCATAATTACTAGAAGGTATACACACTATAAAAAATACACCAGGCATTTTCTCAGTTGATAAAATAGTACTGTAATAATTGAAATATCTTCAGCATAAATAGGTCAAGTTAATTTAATTATTATGTTATTATCGACGGAGTATTAGTTTAGTAAAGTATATGTTAATTAGTTTCGAGGAAGATGAGATAAAGTGACGAATTTAAATAAAAATACATAACAATCGAATTATAATTTAACACGTTGTATTTGATTTTTAAATCGAAAATAAATTGAAAAATGTACGAGTCAGGTAGAACTTGAACCGGCGTTAACTAACCATTGAGCTACCGAATCCTTGTCAAGTCCTGTCCGAGTCGTGAATTTTTTTCAATTTATTTTCGATTTTAAAATTATCCATTGTCCATTCCATTGTCCAAGAGTTCCATCTTCAAACGTGGTACATATTTGTTCAATTTGCTGGGCATATAGTTAAAAATAAAACAAACAAATGGACAAGACCTATCATTGAATAGTATTCAAAAAAAGTAAAAGAAAGAAGGAAAGACTGTTCAAACGGTGCCACGACTTAATAAAGGATGAAACTCGCAAAAGACAAAGGCAGGAAGTCTTTAGAGGAGGTCTATGCCGGGAGACAAGTTATAAGCACTTAAGAAAATAAACAAAGTGTAGTGGTTAAGGAGACTTGTATAGTTAATAACAATTAAGGCGTTATATTTTTATTTGCCAATGGTGTACTGGTAAGTACTTTGTACACGCGGGTTCTGATCACGAGATCCAAGGTTGGAGTTCCAGGGCGAAACTTTCTTCAAAAGCGCGAAATTTTTCTTCGGTGCTTGCAAGATTTCTGAAAAAATCCAAGCCCGTAGTTTGGAGGTGTAAACACCTCAGTACCGCCAATTGTCGTTATCTTTAATAATTTAGTGACCGTAGTTATTCAGTTTGACAACGATTGTCTTATACAAGAGAAAAGAAGACCTCTGTGGAACACTAATAGGCTGATGAAAAGATTTTTTTGTTTACCAGGAACGCTATTTACATTTCTAATATTTTTGCACATGATGGCCATATATAAATAAAAAAAAGACCCGGGCGGAATGTCAAGTAGCATCACAACTGGTTAGAGCGGCAGCATGACTTGAATGCCGGTTCCAGTCCCGTCCGTGTCGTGAAAATTTTCACTCTAAATCGATTTTTAATTTATTGTAATTTGCACACGTATCTTTATATAATGTTACTAACTAATTCCTATTGTAATAGTGACTTATAGAGCAAAACAACCCACTTTTTTACTGATATCCAATATGTATCCTTACATATTACTAGTGACCTACTAACATGAATGAGTATACTTTCTTTCTGAATAGTATAGTAATTGGATTTGTGTTGTTTTAGACAATACAGCTTATAGGGTATCACGCTAGCTACAGATTGGTGTCATGACCTAATTCCTAAACTCTTTGACTATTGTAATCAAGATTTATTTGAAGATTAGATAAACGATAAAACACTTTAACGGTTTAAAACGCGATATATTTTAATTAAACTTGTTTAAAAATTATTTTAACTACGGCCCAACGTTTCCGATGCTTTACAGCAGCCTTGGTCTCCCCGTGACTCGTTAAAGTGTTTTATTTAAGCAAATTGTTTATCTAATCTTCAAATAAATTTGTACTACTCGCGTAAACTATACACAGTATTTAAGAAACGATTTGTTGTCGATTAAGTATACTATATAAAGATGCGATACCTTTTCTCTTTTAAATTCCAAGAAACGAAAGTATTTTTTACATATCTATAATACACTTTTTAGGATCAGTTTACATCAATGCAATCCAGTAATTCAGGAGGTTATTTCGTAAAAATCCAGATTCCATAGGTGGAATGTATAATGAATAATCAGCACTTAATAAATTCATAATATTATATGGAAGTGTGGAAATAAAAAAAATGATTATAAAAGATTTGTTATTGTACATATATAGTTAATTTAACGCTAAATAGTGTTAAGTCAGTTATTTACATGTTTAAGTATAGTTGATATACTTTATTTTTGCACTCTTATGAAAGAACATAAAAACAGCAAGCAAATAATTCAAAGACGTCTCTACTGCATTTCGTATTATTCATAAATCTACTGCAGTTTGTCGCTTTTCGTCCATTGTTTTACATACTGAAGAAGCTTTTTATATATGTAGTTCATTTAAGAAGATATTTTCGTCGTACTACGACTTGTACTATAAAAAATAAATTCTATATTAAATGTAAGTAGTAATTCAATTTTTAGTACCATGCCTGACCTAAATAATGTGTTTTTCCCCAGGATTCAAACCTCGCGCTCTTTAGGTTTTTCGTTTGAACAACCACAGCCACGGAGGCGGTCACACATTGTAGTTGTTATTAAATAAGATCGTTGTATAATATAATTTTTAACTTATAATTTTGAAAAATATAACTATACACATCACACTTAACTCGATTCATTATTTTCAAATTCGAATTTCGAACATATCCAAATCATGAATGAAAATGACTAACAAAAAACAAACACTCAACGAGAGAGTAAATATCATAAATTCTATTATTAGACGGATGTAAAATAAACGTGCATTAGAAACTTCACGTGTAATTCGGTTTCTAGTCAAAAACACCCGGCGCGCAGACGTGATCCATCGCCCTAGCGTAGGGCGGGCGGGCGCCCAGTCGCGGCTCTCTCTGCCGCCGGCGCGAACAAGCGGGAACCCCGCAATCGATAATATAACCCTAAAACCTCTCCAATAAAACCCAAATATATATACTTACATAAAAGTGATCTTTGAAGATGTAAAGTGAGTCTTAATTTGCGATGCTCGGTGAAATGCATAGTATACACAACACTTGATGTTATTTATTTATGTATTAGCAAAAAAGTAATTTGGTGTAATGATATTTCGTGTATCTGTGTAGTTTGTAATTCTATCCATGTATATGTATGTTATACAGCGTAAATGTTTTGTGTTACGTAAATGTTACGCGACGGGCATATCGGAATCAATAAATTATTAATTTTCACAGCTCACGGTAAATAAATGATATTTGCTACCCACCTAAGGGCGTTCGAAAAACGTATATGTTCAGATAATGAAAAATATGCTTTATTATAAAGGAATAACTAAGGTATTTTTTTTATTTATTTACTTTAATCTACATCAAACAAGGACACTGAAAATTGATATTCTAATCATAAAATTCAATGTTTATAATACAATAAAAGTAATTCTATTATATAAGTCAATCTGTGACGTAATTATTGACTTATGTTCGCAAATCCAGCCGAAACCGCCGGGAGGCTACGGACTCCAGTTGAAAATGCTAACAAGATTCCAGTTCTGCAGTGTCATTGTAAAAATATTAGTATCGTTGTATTACCTAAGTCTTTTGGATCCTTGAAACAGCTGATATCCTGCGGTACTTTTAACCTTGATAGCGTAGTACGACCGTGGAAGGTCTTTTCGGCTGTACCATAAAAAATTCGTTAGGTTCCCAGGTGTTATGCGTTTCGGGTTCCAAATATAAAATTTTATTACTGTAGGCAACATTTGAATTCTTAATCAAATCATTAGCGTAGAATAACAGCTACTACAATCATTTCCTTACATATTTAGATATATATATATTGTTTTATTTATATTTATTTGGAAAAAGGTCATCTCACAGTAAGGTAAATAACGTAACAGGCATCTTTATAGTTTACATTTCATAGTTTAGATTCTACTGGCAAATGGGGACGTTAGAGAACATTTTTTTTTCAATTGTTTTTTTAATGAGGGTTCGAACTGCTTGCTCTAATAATTGAGCTATCGTGTCAATTGTCGTTCCAATTTTGTGGGAGAGCCGAATGGATATTTTGAAAAAAAATACATTTGACATTTATGTAATCTGTTTTGCGTGTAAATTCAAACATCTGGAGCTATAAACATACATCGATGTGTTGGTAGCTATTAAGGTCTGGGTATATTTACTCGTAGGTACGGTTTATAGTCACTATTTATGGCAACTCCACCTTGAATGTTTGTTTACAAACCACACAATATTTTCCATTATTCCTTCAACAAATTATACTTTCATATTAAACCGTACCTCGAAGAGCATTTCATTTGTTTAACTCGATCAATTTAAAGCACTATTAGTTATTTTTTTTTTAATTTCAACTAAATTTCAACACATAGGGAGTAATAATTTGTCAAAATCGAAAATAAATTGAAAAAATTTTTCGACTCGGGCAGGACTTGAACCGGCATCGTCAGCTTTCCGTCCTGTTGCTCTACCAATTGAGCTACCGAGTCGAGCTGACGATGCCGGTTCAAGTCCTGCCCGAGTCGAATTTTTTTTCAATTTATTTTCGATTTTAAAATTATATAGTGCCTTCATGTGCATTAACATGTGCAGGATGAACCGTTGGCATGTACATCGTTGTTTTAAACCGTTAAAGTGTTTTATTTAAATGTACATCGTGTTCATTTATTTAGTAAAAACAGAATTTATTTAGCAGATACATTACACAGTTAGTATCGCTAAAGGGTAACAATGATCAATAAAGTTTAAATGCATCCTTAAAAGATTTCATATGTGGTTTGAAAGTTGTATATAATTAGTTACAAGTTATACAGCAATGATAAAAGAAAAACAATACATCGATAAAAAGTTATATGAAATACATACATGGTTCAATATTTCGTTCTTAGATACGTTAGCTTATTTTGCTTATTAAAAAAAATATTTCAACCTCCCCAACTATCGAACATAAATCTTATAAAAAAAACTTACATGTAACAAATTACTGTTCAATTGTCATTTATGTAACAAGCAAAACCTCAACACAATTAGTGAACAATATCACAAGTATGTTTTTATCAAGTGAACAAAAATAAATACTGTCTGTTTACGCGAGTAGTACACATTTAAATAAAACGTCGTAAGTTTAACTAGTATATATCGCGTTTTAAACCGTTAAAATGTTTTATTTAAAAGAAAATTAATCCAAGACATGAATACTTCGCTTCATCTTTT